ATATTAGAACTTTGCTTGAATATGCTTGTGAAGTATGGGGCAAAAGAGGGGCAACACATTCTTTGATATTAGAACAAATTCAGTTAGAAGCTGTGAGAATAGTCACAGTGCTGCCCATATTCACAAAAACTGAATTCTTGTATCGAGAAACTGGTTATCGTTTCAACAAAATTTTATTAACATTCCATATGTTAAACGGATTGGACAACAGGCAGAGCCTATATCAGTCCTTTCCAGAATTAATACATAAATGCTTTACATTTATCTGCAAGAAAATCCAGTGAGTAAAATATTGTATATATTAAATTAGGATATAACAGGTAAAGGGAGGTAACTCCAATTTATTGTCGAACGTTAAGTAGTTCATTATGTCAGATTATTTTTCATAGGATTATAAATAAGTTGAAATAATACAGGTTTACTGATAATTTACCATGCAAGAATCCAGGGATTCAGGTCATAAAGTCCATGTGTATAAACACCTCGACCATCCACCCAAGGATATGCATAATAACTTTTATTTACTATGTTGATAGGTAAGACCATGGTTAAGTTTGAGAGGTTTATAAAATGGTATTTCAGTTTTTTCATCTATATTGGAGTTGGTCCTCTTAACATAGTATATAAGTTAACAAATTAGTTACTACTACATAAGTATAAGTAGCAGTCATGAATTTAATGAATACATTCAAAAAAATACTTTCAAAATGCTCATCAATTTCAGTCAGAAATGCTATCAAAATGCTTGATATTGCTGATTTACATACATCAGGTATTATTTCAGTGATCCGTAGATTAAATGGAGAAATATTAAATGGAGAAATTACACATTAAATCTATTAGTAAGATGGAAATACTCAAATACTATATGAAGTACGGCTAAATTGATGTCAGCATTACATACCTTACAACCATTCAAAAGAGTTTCAATGTTTAAGTGGTCATGATCTAGGTGTATGTCTATTTCAGCTATATTTTGAATTAACCGGTTTCTATAGTCAGTGTATAATGGGCATTCAAGTAGGTAGTGCTGAGCATTTTCAGTTTCATTACTACATATACATGTTGAAGTATCAAGCAAATGGTCATTAAATAAATCAGAGTTTAAGTTACTACCATTGTTTCTAAGCTGGCATAAGAACATATTATATTTTCTAGGTCCTGTGTATTTAAAAGTTTTGATGGCACCTGTTTGATTATTTACATTGGGCTTTATAACTTTCTTAAATTTCTGTATTGAATTAATGTTGACTAAGTCAGGTTGGAGCATATTAAAATAACTTACAGTTGATGGGAAATAACTTTCTTTTCTACAAACAGGAGGATTGAATAAACAAGTATTTCTTAGAGGATATCTTACATTCTCATTAGTATAAACAAAAAGTTCAATAATATTACGTAAGTAGCTTGGAGTTTCATTTCCCAGAATTTTATAAATAAGAAGAAGTTTATGTTGGCTTCGCCTATTACTAAGAGTTTCAATTCCAGTTTCTGCATAGAGTTTATAATGAGATGTCCCCCTTCTTAACCCAGTAATTATCCTAAGTGCTTCTAACTGAACTGATTCTAATAAGTTTTTTTTCGTGATTTGTACAATTATCCCAGATGACATCCCCATACTCTAAAATTGGTATATAGTTGTTAGGCTTTTCCTGTCTACTTTGTGTTTAAGCATTCTCAAAATATTTATTCTCTTGTAGGCTTTATTGTATATATTAGTGATATGTTGAGACCATTTACCATCACTACTAAAAGTTAAACCTAAATGTTTATGAATCTTGACAGAGCTGACTGAATCACCTGCAAACAGTATATCAGGAATAATTTGTTCCCTTTTTCTTGAGAAAAGTGAAGATTCTGTTTTCTGAGGATTAAACTTGATATCCCATCTGTTAGCCCATATATTTAGATTGCTTAAGTCATAGGTTAATTTCTGTGCAATTTCACCAGAATTATTTTCAATCACTTCAAAAATTGATGTATCATCAACAAACAGCTTAAACTTGCTTGTGATGCAGTCAGTTATGTCATTAATATAAACCAAAAATAAGAATGGACCGAGAACTGAGCCTTGAGGAACACCAGCTTTAACATCTTTAAATGTTGAATGAAAACCCTCAGTTAGTACCCTTTGCTTCCTATCAGACAAATAGTTTTTAAACCAATTCAAAACATTACCACTTATACCATATGATTCTAATTTAAAAATTAGGCTTTCATGAAACTGGTTGACTGCCACTTTAAAAACGACGTGAATCCCGCAAGCTTTCTTTATTCTATTTCATCGTTCACAATTTGGCACCCGATTTTTATATTAAGATATGTTTATGTTATAACATTTATTTTAACATTCCGTGCTATATTTACATGTTATAACGAGTTTTATTTTTACATTACGTGCTATATTTACATGTTATAACGATTTTTATTTTTACATTACGTGCTATATTTACATGTTATAACTAGTTTTATTTTTACATGTTATAACGAGTTTTATTTTTACATTCCGTGCTATATTTACATGTTATAACGAGTTTCATTTTTACATTACGTGCTATATTTACATGTTATAATGAGTTTCATTTTTACATTACGTGCTATATTTACATGTTATAACGAGTTTCATTTTTACATTACGTGCTATATTTACATGTTATAACGAGTTTTATTTTTACATTACGTGCTATATTTACATGTTATAATGAGTTTTATTTTTACATTACGTGCTATATTTACATGTTATAACGAGTTTTATTTTTACATTACGTGCTATATTTACATGTTATAATGAGTTTTATTACATTACGTGCTATATTTACATGTTATAACTAGTTTTATATTTACATTTTAACGAGTTTCATTTTTACATTTTTACATTACGTGCTATATTTACATTTTATAACGAGTTTCATTTTTACATTACGTGCAATATTTACATGCTATATTTACATGTTATAATGAGTTTTATTTTTATATTACATTACGTGCTATATTTACATGTTATAACGAGTTTTATTTTTACATTACGTGCTATATTTACATGTTATAACGAGTTTTATTTTTACATTTTTACATTTTACGTGCTATATTTACATGTTATAATGTGCTATATTTACATGTTATAATGAGTTTCATTTTTACATTACGTGCTATATTTACATGTTATAACGAGTTTCATTTTTACATTACGTGCAATATTTACATGTTATAACGAGTTTCATTTTTACATTACGTGCTATATTTACATGTTATAATGAGTTTTATTTTTATATTACGTGTTATAACTATATTTATATTTACATGTTATAACTATTTTTACATTACGTTATATATTTATAATAGTTTCATTTTTACATTCCGTGCTATATTTACATGTTATAATTTCATTTTTACATTACGATATTTACATGTTATAATGTTTTATTTTTACATTACGTGCTATATTTACTTTTATGTTATTACAAGTGTTTTTCCATTTCATTACGAGTTTTATTTTTTGTCACTGTCTATAATTATCTCTCTCATATTCATTCCGTGTTTCTATATTTACATGTTATCTTTACAGAGTTTCTCCATCATTTTTACATTACGTGCTATATTTATATTCCTCATAAATGATCTTTACAGTGTCCATAGATAAAGGTAGTCTCCGTCATATTCTTAATAAATTATCTTTACAGTGTCCATAGATAAAGGTAGTCTCCATCATATTCCTAATAAATTATCTTTACAGAGTCTATAGATTAAGGTAGTCTCCATCATATTCCTCATAAATTATCTTTACAGTGTCCATAGATAAAGGTAGTCTCCATCATATTCCTAATAAATTGTCTTATACATAAACTATCTCTGTAAGGGTAATGCTGTGGTGAATATAAACTAGTTCTTTTTTGATATACCACTAGACATTGTTCAAAATGTAACAACCTTCCTACATAAAAAAGTTTTCATTTCAAAAATGGTCAAAATGTGTACAACACCATTGTGTGATGTTATGGAAACTTGTGTTCCTTCACAATATAGCTATCACCGTTAGAATGGCCACTTGTCTACTGGAAACATGAGGTCCTATACAATATAGCTATCACCGTTAAAACGGTCACTTGTCTACTGGAAACATGAGGTCCTAGACAATATAGCTATCACCATTAGAATGGTCACTTGTCTACTGGAAACATGCGGTCCTATACAATATAGCTATCACCGTTAAAATGGCCACTTGTCTACTGGAAACATGAGGTCCTAGACAATATAGCTATCACCGTTAGATTGGTCACTTGTCTACTGGAAACATGAGGTCCTATACAATATAGCTACACCATTAGAATGGTCACTTGTCTAGTGGAAACATGCGGCCCTATTCAATATATGTATCACCATTAGAATGGTCACTTGTCTAGTAGAAACATGCGGTCCTATTCAATATAGCCATCACCATTGGTCACTTGTCTACAGTATCGAAATAGTACAAATGTCACACAAGTGAACAAAGATTGTACATAAGTAAAAAGCAACTTTCAATACTTATTTAGAAGTAGATAAAGAGTTATAAAAATGAATTTATTTGCATCCTACTGTTTAAAGCTTCTTCGACTTGGAGGTGACTTTGGAGAATCCTTATTGGCCAATATAAATTGGAAAAACCAGATTTCATAATTTGCAATACTGAATTATTTCAAAAGTACATGATATGTATATTGTGAAGCATTCCACTATTGAAGAGTACCAAAGCATAACATGTATGATAAGTACATGTACTCATTATGATAACCCAGCTTTGTCAACGAATATAAAAATAACTAAAATAACACATGATTTTTTCTGTATTTTAATATATATATCATTCCGAAAATAAATAAAAAAAGGTTTGTTCAATGTAAATACACTACTTTTCACATGTCTGCTACCTGAAAGTTTATATTAAAAATCACAACCGTCTGGTCAGTTAAACCAAAGACTGATAATAGTTTGTTTGTTCACAACTGCTCCAAAACGCTGGATTAAACTCCGGTTTGTAAAAAGTTCTTGTTTCCTAAGGGCTTTCGAGATCCCTGCAAAAAAGAGCAAACAAAACATTAAAATATATACCAAAATTATGAAGATTTGCAAGCCCAGAATGATGACATTAAGAAATTAAGCCACATTGATATAAAGACATTACTGTTAACATTAATCATTCAGATGAGCTAAGGATACATCAAGTCAAACCAAGGTGTTCAAAAGAAATAAATGCTTTCAAAAACCATGTAAATGATATCAATATTTATCAGTTAACAGTTCTGTTAAGGTTAAATAAACAATTTGTTAAAGTATTACAGAAACATTATGAGTAAACATGTTAGGGCTATTCCAGTATATATCCTAGGTTTTGGGATACCATTCAAAGTATGTAACTGACAGCTTGCTTAAAATCAATAGGCAGGAAACCAAACCAAGTATAGAATACTTGTGTCCAGTAGATGTTTTACTGGAATAGCCCATAGTTTAAAGTTGTAAATTCAAGCATTAAAACATTCCAATACACCACCAATACAAATTCAGTTTTCTTTACAAGTGACAATAAAAAAAAGATGAATTATTAAAGATAAGATCTGAAGACAAACATGCAAAGAAGTGCACGGCTGTGTAATAGATATTATTTCAGTAAAATCAAAATTTCCTGTAGAAACTGTATACTTTTCACAAAGAATTCTACCAAATTATGAGCCCTAATGTCTTTCTATTAACTCCCCACATCATATAAAAATGTTCTCCCTTGAACAAAACAAAATTTGCCATGACGCAAATTGTTTCTCAAAGACTGAAAGAAATTCACTAAATATCAGTCTGCACCATGTTAAATTTATTTTTTAAAAATTCTCTTTGTTTAGAAAAACTCAAGTTCTGGAATTACTCTAAATAGATTCTTGCTATTGTATAAATACGTCATAAAATACTTATTTTCCCTACAAATGTATTTTTTTCTCTCAAAACTTCAGCTGAATTCATTAATTGTTATTACAAGCAACACATTTTATGCCCTTGTAAACGTGTCAAGTGAATGTAACAAGTGCAGATATTTAACACAACATGAAAAAAGCTATTCATAGTTCCATAAAGGGATTTTATAAATTGGTAAAAGAAATAAAGTGATCATTTTGTCACTTTGAAGTTTCAGGGTGTTATACCAATAGTGCTGTTTAACAGAACTCCAGAATTAAAACACATACCATGTAAAATAATGCTGTAGCTGTGTCAACGACAACAAAGAGACAGAAAAATAGGCAGGGCAGAATCTAGATCACTTCACACAAAAGATTCAGTTATACAAGTAACATTTCCATACTATTCACATAAAACATTAAGTATTTTCTTTCTAGTACATCTTTAATTAAGTATTAAAAAAAACAAATGTTCCAGCATAAGAAATAGCACTTTATATTGCCAAAATTGTGATATTTTTATACTCTTATAAATTCCACAAAATGTAAATAAGATATTCTCAAATATCATTATTACTCAAATTTTCTGAAATAACTATTTTTCCAAAATTTAGAATATATCTTCTCTTGAAAACACTGTAAAACCCTGACAGCTTGTTCAAAATTAAAGAAGAAAAAAACCCACTTTAATTAATCATCACTACATGACTGAATCTACAATGACCTAATAACTTAATGTTTTGTTTACATTTTTCACATTTTATTGAATAGATAATTAATCTGTCCATTTCAAACATTCTTTATTTTAAAAAGTGCATGTGTACAAATTAATATGTCCTATAACATCCCTGGCAAATCTTACCCAGAATATCAAAAGTCACTGACCTACAGTTTCATCACTCATTTCACATCAATCATGTAATACCTGGGTAATATTCCTGGTGTATAAAACAATCATGACTACATGCTGATTATTACATGAATCTAAATATACCTGCATCTTGCTTTCTAGAATTCTGTAGACAACATGTTTCTTTAGCTTATTCATTATGCTAAATTACACCTCAACTCATGTATTGATTTACTTAGAATGATCATGTAAACCACTGCGGATGATATCAAAATCTGTACAGAATCTGTACAAACCAGAATCTTTTTTTTATATATTTCTATACAATAATATAGATCAAAATAACTCTTCAATGGGTTAAAATTGTACAATCTCTATCACACAACACTTCACTCACTTTCACACATTAAAAACACCTTTAAAATCATAAACTAAACAGACATCATTAAAAAGCAGCATTGACCCCAAGAGAGGTGTACTGGCTACTACACAACTACTGCTAAGACACTACACCTGGGTCTATTTTGTTGGACCGTTTCGGAGTGGACATGGAATTGATGATTTTACCAATAGCTTTGATTGGTGTGGCAATAGTATACTTCTTTTTATCAGGCGGTATATTGGATTCATCTTCAAACAGTTTGACAAGATTACGAACCTTGGAGGCGCTTTTTGTGGCTGATGATACAGATCCAGTATTTCCACGCATTTTCTTATGGGGTGTGTTCATTATGTTGAAAGCTGTATTATTTAACCACTTCTTTGCTGACTGGAACAAGCAAACACAAAATATGTCATCAAATAACAAATCATCTTAATATATAAACAAAATGAAACTTTTGAAGCCTTTTGTCTTGTTTTCTTATTGTTTTTAATTCTTCTATTATTCTTTTTGGAATCTGCCTCGATAATGAACTGTATATACTATTTTCTCTCCATTCCCCTCCCAATTTGATGCGATTTTCTTTTATCTAGGAGACACAAATAATAATGTGAATGTGATCATACCTTCCTTAATGATGTGGGTTCATTTTCAGCATTGACAGATCGCTTTGGTGTTCGTTTGGATCTGGAGTTGCCGATGGGGGTTCTGGGTGAGCGAAGGTTGTAGCGTGGTGTTCCCTTGGAGTTCCGCCGTACGTTGTTTGAGTTACCTGGCGTTGGAGGACCAGGCTTCTGGTAAACTGTACTGGCATGCTTTGACTGCTACAATGTTTACAAAAAGTTGACAAAGTCACATAGAATTCTACAAAATTTAAAAAAAAAAAAAAAAAAAAAAGAAAAGGAAAAAGAAGAAAATACTGCAAAATTTGTTTTAAAAAAAAAGAAAGAAAAAAGGGTGTAATTTGTAGTAACGCTGTTGGAAATTGTCTTTCAATTTTTTTATTTTTTTTTCTTTTCGAATTTCTGGATGATGTAAAAGCAGTATACAATGGTAATTTGGGATTAATACATACTGAAAACAACATCAAACATATTCTTATAACCTCTTGGTATTGATCTGTCTAATTACCTGTTTAGAAGATTCTCCCTCATCACTGGAACTCTCCTGTTTTCTCTTTTTAGCACTGCCCTGTGCACAACCAGTGGAGAATGCCAGACTTTCCCTTACAGAGTTCTCTGCGTACTGCTGCATCTCCACAGGATATGTGGACCGCATGTGGGGTAGCAGAAGTGTGTTACGTCGCTGAAGCTCACTGAACCTCTTCCATTCTAGATCAGCTGGCTCATCTTCCATTGCAAATAATTTGGCTGTACCTCCTAGAATTCAATGAAAAAATATTAGCGTCATAACACTAATTTCCTTCTGATGATATTCCTACAAATTTAAGTTCTGCTACATGGCAATGATAGATAGGAAAACCTCATATATATTTATTCAAATAGAGTACAACTCATATTGAACTAAGCAAAAATATTGTCCTTAAAACAGCTGGTATAAAATCCCTCATTTGATTAAGGTGTAATATAGAACCAGACTACTTGAATGACCGTAAGTTCACAGCAAACTTACGTGGAAGAGATGCAACAGAACGGCCAGAGTCTGTACTAATTACACTTTGGTCCATACTTGCAAGGCGAATCCGAGAGGAACGTCTTCTGGGTGCCTCCTCCTCTGAAGAACCACTAAACATAACAAACAAACACATCAATCATAAATTGTAATGTCAACACAAATCAGTGAGATGATAAACAGATAAACCACTAATTGATGAATGATTTTCAAAGATAACCATACTCAGAAAAATATTTGTGTTAAATAGAATCAAACTAATGTGAGTATTTGACCAAGAAGTACCTGTGAAACATGAGATATGTTCTAGAATCCACCAATATTATACCTGATGTTAGCACAGGGCATATGATTTAATCAGAATATATCAGTACTATAAGTCTAATGTTCAAACCTGTATGATATCTTGAATGAGATATCTCCCAAAACTTGAAGGCAAACATTGATACTCATGGAAGACAAATTTACACTGTGCCTTTATTTGAAGCTAGAGTAAGATCACATTCTATATTACGTAACAGGACCTTCCTTTAATGTTTCTTGGCTGTTAGTGTTATGCAAGGCGGAACAGAGCAGTTTACTTTTTGAAACCTGACTCCTTGTCATGAAAGAAACTACTACTCTGCACCAGCATCAATATTAGTTGAGCCCCTGTGAAGAGGATTTCCGATTTACAGAAGCATACCTGTGTAGTTCGCTCAGAGTGTCCTCATCCTGACGGTTTAAACATGTCTGTACAAAGTGATTGTTGTCGCCTATGTAGTTCGTTCCTGTAATCTCTAACTGAGTACGTAATGTTTCCACCTGTTTGTTTGTTGCCTTAAGTTCAGCTTTCAGCTCTACTACCTGTTTGCCTACAATAAAATAATGCTTTTTGGTACACAACTGACCCTTATATCAAATCATGATATCTGATTTAATTGCTTTCTTCTTAATCAATATTAAAAAATCTATGAGTTTTCATTTGAGGCATTCAGAAGATTCCAACAATGATATATAGAGCATTAAACACAATAAAATGTACCTGCCTGCCTCCTCATTTCAAAAAACAAATTGAAGTACAAAATACTTCATGAACACAGGTGAGTTATAACATTACTGACCGATTCTATCTTATTTTGCACTCTTTTCATCTAAATCAGGCAAATGCTAATAAAGCTTGTACTTTAACCCAAACAGGTTTCCCTCAGAGTATAGCTATGTTGCCAGAATTACTTTCGTTTTCCCATAACTTAACCCTGTGATACTAATGAATTTCTTACATAGTGTCTTGTTGTTGCCTTTTTCCTTGTCCAGCTTGTCCTGGATGCCTTGCTGTTGAGTTTTTTCCGTTTGTAGAAGGACCTGTTGGAATCATATATGTAATTGTAGTATGATTTTGATTTTTTAATCTTTTCTTAAATATTTTGAGTCTTTGCTTCTATAACTATGAATTGATTAAAGAAATAAATAGGATAAAACGTTACTGCTATTCTGCCTTAGTAATTAAGACAAGACAGTTAAGTAAAAAGGTAGCAAACTTCATAACACTGAAGGGCACAGAACACTACTATCGATATTGTTTTAAAATCAGGATGTTATAGAGTGATTTAGTTGATACTCATAAGCCTTGAACTTGTGTGTAAACAAAAAGATAAAAAAATTCACCAGAAATTTTAGGACTGTAATACAGTGGCTTTCATGTGTATTATCCACAAAATGAACTGCTGCAGAAAAGGTTTGTGATTTTAAATTTTTTTTTCTATTTAAGAAAAGGAAAAATTTCAGCCCCACAATATATGTCATCTTACAATTCATTTAAACTTTGTTAAAGCTATGTAAATACAGTGTGCATTAGGTAATATCTATTCCCCTCTAAAGCTGGTTTTACAAGATTAGTCATTTGTCTTACCTTGAGTCTTTTCACCTCCTGAGACAGGTCAATAGATTTTGTCTGGAAATCTTTGCCAACCTTCATATTTACATCAACTTCTTTCTTGAGAAGGTCAATAACCTCCTTCTTCTTGTTGTAATGGATACGATAGTTGTCTATTGTCTGTTGTAGTTTGGATTCTTTATTCTCCATCTCTAAGATTTTCTCATTTAGCTGTATCAGTCAAGAATATATTATATACATATCTTGTTTTTGGAGTAAAAGTTAAATAAATAAAGAATTGAATCAAAACATTAAGATCATCTTTGTCAGGCCCTATTATTTGAACCGAGCCATCCCCTCTATCCCCTGAGCCATGAAGGATAATACTAATAAGAAAGATGTCTTTTACAGAAACAGAGGTATCTGTACTGAAATAAAGAAAGAATAGGGAATAACATAAGTAAATGAACAGAGTAATATTTACCTGTTTTATTTCAGCATTAGCACCTAAGGACTGCTCCTGAATCCTAGATAGTTCTGCACGGAGCTCGGTCTCTTCTGATTCCTTGGCATTTTTTACTTCAGCAACCTTCAACTGCCACTGCTGGAGCGTCAGTTCTGAGTTATCTTTCAACTTTTCCACCTAATACAAAGAATGAAGGTATAAACCTTCACATTTTGTCAAATCATAATTTTTCTTACAACAGGTATTAACTTTGAAAATAATGAGGAAACTGATTTAAAATACATAGTGTTACATCCTTCCCATTTTTCAGTATAATTGCAATTAATGTTCTGTTACTTTAGCTTATACACTTGATATTTATCATAAGGTTCTGTAACTAGATAATGAAAGGGTAAATATCTATGTAGGATCTGACCTGTCTTTTGTAGCTGGAAATTTCTTTTGTAGCCTCGTCAAGCTTGTTGCTGAGTTCAGAACATTGACCCTTGACTACTGTTGTACGACGCTGTTCCTGTTCCAGTAGCTGTCTACTCTCCATCTGGAGATCTGAAAGCTTAGACTTGAACTCCTGACGCACAGAGTTCAGTTCCTCACTGTGACTTTTGGTCTGATCTGCCATGCTGAGGTCACAGTTGTGTTTCATTTCTCTCAGCGCTTTTTCCAGCTCATCACACCTTGACTGTTGACTGTGTAGTCTATTTGCCAGTTCCTTTTGACTTTGTGTCTCTGACGTCAATAAATCCTGGATTTTATCAATTTTAGTCTGATAATCTGATTTCACTTTCTCCAACATGGTACTGTTTTCTGTTTTATGTTTCTTTTCCAGATCTACTAAGTCATTTTGTTTCTTCTCTAGTTTTTTCTCTAAATGTGAAATGCGATCTTGCAGTGCTGCTTTCTGACTAACTGCAATCATTTCTTTCTCATGTACAAGGGCCTGGCAGCGTGTCTGGAAATTCTGTTCCTGACTCGACAGCTGGTTGCGATACTGTTGGGTCTGTTCTTCAGTTGCCTTATGGTACTCATTCTCTAGTTGTGTTAACTGTGAGCGCCAGTACTGCTCACTCTCCTCCATTGTCTGTTGACAGCTGACACGTACCTGGTCCAGGAGCTCTGTTTTCTGCTTCAGTTCTGACTCAACTTGTGCAACTTTTGCCTCTAAGATAACTCTGTCCTTGTTATCCTGCTGAATGGTCAGTCTTTGATTCAGTTCCAGTATGGTTTGTTCAAGTGCACGCCGTTTCTCACCAGCTTCTTTCAGTTCTTGGTTTGTTGAAGTCATATCTTTGACAAAACCTCGCATTTTATCTTCGTGACTTTTCACAAAATCATTACAATCAGATTTCATCTGCTCTTTCATTTCTGAAATCGAGGTCTGGTACTGGGCTGTCATAGATTCTAACTTTTCAGTCAAATCATCATTGTCTTTCAATGCCTTTTCCAGTTTACAATTTAACTCACAGGCAGAAGCTTCATATTTATCTGTCACAGACTCCAACCTTTTGGCCAAAACATCATTCTCATTAACAGCTTTGTCCTTCTCTGACTTAAGCTCTTGGACTGATGTTTGGTGCTCTGCCGTCAAAGACTCTAACTTTTCAATCAAAACAGCGTTGTCACTCACAGTTCTCTGCTTCTCTGACCTGAGCTCATTGATTGAGGCTTCATTCTTTGCTGTCATAGACTCTAATTTTACCATTAAAACATCATAGTCACTTTTGGCCTTGTCCAATTTACACCTGTATTTAGTGATTGAAGCTTCATACTTCGCAGTCACAGATTCACACTTTTCAGACAAAACATCTTTGTCACTCAATGCCTTCTCCTGCTCTGACTTGAGCTCACTGACTGAAAATTCATACTTTGTTGTCAGAGATGCCAATTTTTCAGCTAGATCTTCATTATCACATAATGCCCTCTCCAGTTTGGATCTAATCTCACCAAGAGATGTCTCATATTCTGTGGTCACAGACTTCAACTTTTCTGTCAAAACACTATTGTCACTCAGTGCTGTTTCCAGTTCATGTCCTTGGATTTGAGATTCAGACACAAGGTGTTCACATTTCATTTGTAGATTTTTGATGTCTTGTGTTTTTTCTGCTACATGTGTTTTCAAAGAAGAGATCTCTTCACAGTTGGTATTGTTTCGTGTTTGAATTGATTCATTTTCCTGTGTATGTTGTAACACAAGCAACTCAAGAGAGGAAATCTGGTCACTTTTGACCGTCATCAATTCCTGTTGTGAGCATGTCTCTTCATTCAGTTCAGACAGCTGTTTGTCAAGACAAGAAATCTTTTCACAGTTCCTACTGCACAACTCCTGAAGTGATTCCTTTTCTGATATCAGTCCAGCTACTTGCACAGTCAAATCTTGTTTGTCTCCAGTCAGATTTGAGATCACAACATCACGTTCAGAAATACATTCACTCAATGATGAGATCTCAGTGTCCTTGGTACTTAACATTCTTTCCAGTTCTCTTGCCTTTTGATTCAATTCAGAGACTTCAGTTTTAAATTCACAATTGACTTTCTCCAGATTTGAAACACTATTGTCCTTTTCTAAAAGGGAAGCCTCTAATGAAGAAATTTGTTCACATTTCTCTTGAGTGTTCCTCTCCTGTTCTGCCACTGCTTGGTCAAACCTGGCTGACAGCTGTTGCATCTCGACTGACAGTTTATCCTTTTCCTGTGTCAGCTGATCATTACTGACTTGTTTTGTCTCTGCCACTTTTGTGACTAGGACCACTTGACCAGTGAGTTCATCAACCTTTTCCTGAAGATGGGCCACTTCTGTTGTAAGAGCCTCATTATCTTCATTTCTGGTCTGGATCTGTCTTGTAAGGTCGGCAAGTCGGCTGTCCAGACTCGAACCCTTATTCACACTAACCTGAAACTGTTCCTTGAGGTGTTCCAGCTGTTTAAGTACACTTTCACACTCCTTTTGAGACTTCGCCAGATCTTTGTTCAAAGTAGATTCCCTTTCTGCTGACTCTGTATGAAGCTTCTCTAACTCCTTCTTAAGACTATGCATTTGATCTCCATTTGCCTTCTGACTTTTCTTGAACTCTGTTTCACTGTCTTTCAACTTCTTTTCCAGGAATGCTTTGGTTTCTGATACTTTCGAAAACTGCATGTGTTGTTCATCTAAACACTCTGTGAGATGAGATAACTCACCATTAGACTGTGACAAAGACACCTTCAAATCAGAAATCACAGACTGTTGGGCCTCTATATCATTTTTGAGTGTGCAACACATTTGTTTCTCTTTCCCTAGCTCCTTCTCCATACTCTTTAGATTCCGCTCATGATCAAACCTTGCTTCCGTCTCCTGAGTCAAATTCTCCTTCAAGCTTGTAACTTCTGCCTCTGTCTTTTGAAGTGACTGGGTAAGTTCTTCACAGAACCTCTCCTGCTGTGCTATCTGTTCCTTCAAGCCAGATTCTTTTTCTAACCATTTCACCTGCTGTCTCTTTGAATTTGTTTCCATCCCCTGTACCTTACTGTCGCATTCAATCCTGTTCCTATCCAACTCAACCTTACATTCATCACAGCGGCTTTGGAGTTCCGTTATCACATCCTTCAATTGATCTTCTTCTGATCTTGCTCTCTCTCTAATATTAGTTATTTCGGCCTTCAAATGTTCGACTTGACATTGATGAGTGGTCGTTTTCTGGTTAAGTTGACCCTCCAGTATGGCCTTGTTTTCCTTGAGAGCACTGAGTTCCTCCCTGAGCCTTGTTTCTGTCTCACAAATTTCTTCTTTTAGACTGGTCATCTCTTCCTTTAAACATTTTACACAGTTGTCCTTGACCCACATCTCGTTTTCCATACGTATCTCTAATTGTTTGTAGCTGCTTTGACTGGTCTTCAGCTTGACCTTGAGTTCATCCTCAACATTCATGGCCTCCTCCTTCTGCTGCTGCAGCTGCGCACTAAGTGAGTCTAATTTTGTCTTCCATGACGCCTGTTCTAGGATCAGCTTTTGTTCCATAGATTTCTGCTCAGATTTGGCAAGGTCCATAGATGCAGCCATAGTTTGTCGTCGTTCTTCTGTGGCTAGTTTCTGTCCCTCAGCCTCCTGTTAAAAAAAATCAAGATAGATGTATATATGTATACATATCACTGACACTGACAAAAAAATGCATCACACAGGAAGATGTTTGTATATCTCATGTTACTGCTAGGAGCTGGGATCGGCTAAACTTAGTAGTAGTCACAACAAGATGTTATTCAGTGATGTAACTTGCTTTCAGGAAATCATCATATAATATTCCAACAGACAGAAGTATTATACTAGAGATTACCAATTTGATATCCTGATTTTGTTTCTGAAGGGAAATGACTAAGTAGCTACCTATTGGCTTGTTTACACAATAAGTAGACCTTAGTTATAATGAATTTCTTACCATACACTCTGGTGTATTGAAAAGTACTTGCTACTTACCATTGTCAGAAGTTGAATCTCTGTTTGAGCATGTGAGAGTTTTGTCTGTAGACTGATGATCTCCTCCTCTGCCGCCTGTTTATCTGAGTTGGCTGTCTGTAGAAGGGTGCTTAACTGGGACTCCTTAGATCTCAATACTTCATTGTCAGTCTGAAGAGCAGTTAGATTCGTGGTCATTTCAGACAGATTCATCTCAAGTTTCTCCACATTTTTTTCACTGGTGGTCAAAGTCTGTTGTACTTGCTCCATTTCATCATCTTTTTTCAACAGACTCTGATGGGTCTCCATAAACTTAGTCTGAAAGAATGCATTTCATTCTCTTAACAACAAGTCAATAACTTCAAAAAATCCAAATAACAATTATCTAACTGTTGTAAACAGAATTCAAAAACACTGACAATTCAAATTTACAAATGCAAATATATCCCAATGTTCTGACAGTGACCTTGACCTTTGAATTCCTAATATTATAACTATACATATTAATCACCTCTTTATACCACAATGTACATATGAAGGACATTTTGAAGAAATTGAACTTCTGGATTCTAAGATATCACCTAAGTTGAGAACAGATGAAGAACATTGTGATTGACAATAGATCACCATCACCTTGCACAAGGCTCAAAGTATCATAACACCGTAGAAAAATCAACAAATCTACAGGATTGAGAAAGGTAAATAAAGGATTGCTCGATGCTAACCTCAAATATCCTCTTTGTTTCTTCAATATTAGCTAGTTCCTTTTCTAGATGTTTGTGAGATTCTGGGTCTATCCATGATCCCCTCAGTTCACTCAGTTGTTCCTCCAACTCTTTAATGCGTGTCTCCATTATCATCCCCATACTCTCTCCATTTTTATTATGACAGTCTATGGCTGTAAAACACAAGCATTCAATTTTATAATACATAATCTGACAATGAGGTTAATGTCTGTCTTGCAGACTGTTTCCCCTATCAGCTTACTTTCCTTATGTTTTTCACAGATATTGATTTTAATCCATTTGGTTATACAATAATTGTAACCAGATTTATTATCAAACCACTACCAACCATCTAAAGGCTTCTGTAATTATGACTTACCAGTGATTGCCATCATCTCCTCCATTTCTGTTTTCTCTGCCTTTATTTCATCCAGTTGCTGCCGTAAAGAGACACGAGATTCCTCCAACTCTAGAACTTTTTGCTTGGCCTGTTTAGATTCAGACTTGCAATGTTCGAGAACAGATTCCATTTCAGCTATCTGCAGCTTCTGATGGTGACACTTACTGCGGTATTCCTCATGGCTCTTCTTGAGTGACTCCAGCGCCAACATCTGTAATAGTTAAAAAATAGTAAACTATTTCAAAAGTAGTAATTTTAAAAAGAATATACATACATGTATGTTTAATCATAAAGCCATATTTCAAGTCAACAAATTTGATTTGTTTACTTCCAGCCTTTATCTTGACATATACATATAAATAATGCAACAGAAATTCAATCACCTGCACAATTATGAACCTTGCAAATAAGAGCAATCTTGAACCATGTATAAATGATAATGATAAGTTGTAAAGAAATCCTAATTTTATCTGACACATAGGAGTTGTGAATTCTTGATTGTACCTGATTTGCCAAGGATTTTGTTTCTGCAACTTTCTCATTGTTTTCTCTCTCCAGAAACTTGCAATGGTCTTTAATATCCTGCAGTTCACTACATCTCAGTTGTGCACTGTGAAAGAAAATTCTTCCAATTTTGAATTGGTGCCAAAATGTTATTATCATGCATTGAAGTGAAATAAAAACTTCTAAAATATCTCAGTTTTAAATAAATCTGATAATTCATTATTCTTATCAAAACACCTTATTAAACTCAATTTCATAAAGCAGTCTTAATTCCAGAGGAATTTAGATTTTGTTGTAGAAACCTCATATAAGTACTTACATACAGAAAGAAAATTTTCCTGTGCATCAATATAAGTAAATATGTTTGATTTTGATGGAGAAGTTGTGTTCCGATTGATCTTCCCGTTAACAATATCTGTTATGACAATCCTAAGTGAACGATTCCTTACCTACTGATTTCTTTCTGTAAATGGTCTCGCTCTTGTTTCACTAGCTCCAGTTCATCATATACATCTGCTATATTTCTCTGTCCTTTCAATGCTGTTTCCAACTCTACGATTCTCCGGTCTAAAATAGTAATTGAATCACAAAAATATTCTTTTTCTACCAAGATGAAAACTGACCACAAAGATATAAAAGGTAAATTTAATTTTGAAGTCAGCTGAAGTTGAAAATGATAATCTTTTAATTTTCCCCCCATTTATTCTGTACATTTTGACCATGAATATCTATCAGAAGACCTGTTGTTCAAACTTATTCCATCGTTATATGTTTCAAACAGTACAGAAAATTTCTAATCAATTTGTTCAATCAATATTTTTTCTACCCATTAGAATCTTACACTCCATTTCATAAGCGATTTCTCTTCAGTTACAAATACTGTCTAGGGTGCTTATTCTTTGTTCAGTAGTTTAACAGGATCTGATTCTCAATAAAAGCAGTATTTACCTCTCTGACTCAGCAGTTCACACTTCTCTTTAATATCCAGCTCAAGGTTGTCTTTGAAATGTCTCTCACTTGCCACAACCATCTCTAGTTTCCTGATCTCTTTTTCCTTCTGTCTTAACAACATCTGTTGAATGACAGAACAACTTTCATTCAATGACTGTCACAATTGTTTTTCATACATATTTTCACAAAGATATGTTAGGCACTTGCAAACATTTCAACTGTAACAAAGCTTGTTCAAAACAGGCACAACACATTTAAGGGTAAGCACCTAAACTTAAGTACAACTTGGGGAGATATTAAAGACAACACACATTATTTTAGGCCTGACAGAGCCACTTGTATTGTAATATTATAAGTACATTTAAATTGAACAATTTTACTCAAGTTTAGCCTGTCAATGTCAAACCCATATTTTCATAACAAAATGATAATGTAAAGTTTCCAAAGACAATCCATCACCTTGACCTGCCATAATCCTGAATTTCTTGTCGTCTTCATATAAATTCAGAAAGTACTAGGAAATGTCTGAAATACATGTAGGCCCGCAATCCCATACATGAGGATTATTGTTAAATGTTAAATGTTATCAATTATTCACCTTGATCGCTGACCACTTTAATTTGAAAAGGTGTGGATGAGATAGGACAGACCCCCTTTCCCCCACCCACCCACCCAAAAAAACCAGGGATACAAGAAAGGGCCTCAACATACAGTGAATCCTACAGGTCAGTTTCTGATAATAAACACTTACCTTCTGTGCCACCTGAGGTGACTGCATTAGAGCTGAAAGAGGAGTGAGTGGTGCAGGAGAAGCCAGAGTTAACATTCTCATCGGGGAGCTGATTTCATGGGGGCCACAACCCCTCGCTGAGCCAGTCATCAGAGGGTGTACAGGTGTCAGGGGCGTACCATTAGAAACTATAAGTAGGATTTTAGACTTTTATATTATCACTAAATATCTCACCAAAATTAATTTACTGATTTGGATTAATGAGTACTTCTTTCTTTACATCAAAACCAATTTACATAGCACAAATTTAAATTGTACAAATATCTATATTGTCAAGTCATAAATGAATTCAATATGATTTTAAATACCAATTGCTGATTGTTCTCAAAATGTTTTATCTTTGTCAATAAATGACAGTAATGTACAGGTCTTTATATCAGCTGATTTTTACAAATTACACATTTATTACAAAATTACAAAGATTCTTTGTGTAAGCTTTTGACTGTCAAGGTACACAAATCTAAATACTTAAATATTACACAAAGGCTACAAAGCCAATACAATCATGGTGCTACCAAACCACAAGAAACTAATTTCTATAGCTGTCGGCACTTATTTTACTTACATTCTGTTGAAATCAGAAATAAACATTCAAGCTCATATAACCAGCATTTTAAATGCCTATGTCACTTTAATATCCTGTTTCTATGCCAAAAATCTACTAGACAATAAGATCATTTAAACAACTTGACAGTAAGGATTTGGTGTGTGATGTGTTACGCAGAAATGTTTGTGAATTTGAAAGAAATAATTGATGTATGTGCAAGACAGTCTGTCAATACTGTAACTTTACAGTTTTTGTAACTGATTTTTCAATTAAATTCAATTATTTCAAGGATGCAATTTCCTTTGCATGTTAAATATAAAACATACAAACTTAATATCATCGTTCACAACAAAACAAAAAGTCTAAAATGAGGTCAATAAACAGGTTTATAAAGAAAGTAGGAAATTCAAGTTCCATAGAAACTTTGTAGACTTGAAAGATTTCAAATTATCAGCATTTTCTAAAATTTCTCTGATATGCTTGTACTGTAGGATATTTTTGACCAACAGCACTATCTAAACATTCTGAAACCTGATTTTAGAATTCTTAAAACCAAGCACATTTCAAAGAGAACGCAAAAAGGAGTGCTCCAGATAAATCTCCGTATAGAATCAGTATTTGATTTATCGATAACCTACCATAAACAAGTACCTACTGAGTGCCTATTATTAAGCATTGGATTAATAAAGAATATTTCCACAAAATTTATGGACACTTTTTAGTTTTCAATATATGGCACTTGTGGATTGATGCAAGGCTCATTTGGCAGAATTCTTCCCATCAAATGCCATTTCAACAAGAATTTTAGCCGGAAGTAGGTTCTATTTTTGTTTGGTATTACATTCCAAATCATCAAACAAAATGAAGTCCTTTGATTAACAAACCAAAAATTTAGAAAAGCATTTCATCCTTTAAGAACTCAGACGTATGCTATGTTTATTTTTATATTAAATCTGAAGGCAGTATGTTTGATTCTAGCTCCTAATATGACTTCACTTTATATACACAAATACATGATTACCTAGAGCACTGTTGAAAGGATGAATAAGTGAACGGATGAACAAGTGAACGGATGAACAAGGGAGTGAAAATGTGCATAAATGAATGAAATCATGAATGATGAATATGATGAATGACAAAACTGAATAAATAAACACTTTAGTAGATGTAATTTGTGAATATAAACATGTGTATTTAACAATATTGTAATTATTATACCGGTTGGAAAGTTGAAAGATTGGTCAACCGTCGGCGTTGATGTAACTATGCCTTTGCCCTGGGTAACTAGTTTGAAGAAAAGATCAGCATCTTTGTGAAAAGTTGACTCTAGGACAAACGGAAAATAAGGATGTGTCTAATCTTATTCATGTTAGGGTGACGGAAAAGTTAAAAGGTTTTCTTAAATTTCCATTAATGATAAGATCTAAAACAAATGTTTTGGAAATGGCTTATTATTTAAAAGTCATGAAAAGTAAGGGTTTTAGAAAAGTTAATGCTGTATTGTGACAGAACTGGAACTTCCATTGAGAAATACCTGTGTGGTATTATCAAATAGTGATCAATGTAAAACATTTATCTAGTGCTGTTTGTGATTTATATTGGAAGATAGATAAGGAGTAAGATATCATGTATAAACACAAAACATGCACAATGACATTACTACAATAAGCAACACACAATATTTCAATTTGTAATTTCAAAATTAGATTTATAAAGATACATTTGGTGAATATTTTCACAAAATCTAAATCAATGTCTCACATCTAGCAAATAACAGCTACTGCAATCAAAAATACTATTATTTAATTTTTTTGTCCTAAATTCTAATTCTCCTCTATGGTTTGTAACTCACAACAAAACCTGGAGGCCTGGGATATCATGCATGTTTTTAAATGATTTATCTGATAGCTAGGCCTGCCACTGGAAGATCTAGGGCAAGCTAACAAATGGTGTGTTTTATTGGTGACACAATCTACACCTTTGAAAATTTAAGCATAAAGCATTAAGTCTGACATGCATCTTATCACTGTATATAGGACAACTATTAAACCAATGACAAATCTGATAATGGAAGCTCTAAATAGTATTGATACACAATTTTCTGTTTAGGCTAGGGCATAGTGACAACAGCTAAATTAGTCATATGAGAACTTCTGCTGGGATACATACCATTTTCTCTCTTCTTTTTTAAGATTTCAGCAAAGTCTGCTGGGAGACGAGTCGTCAGATCTTGAGATGTGACCATTGGTTCCAGCAGCTGCATAATGTCCATTTGTTCCTCTTGAGATAAGGTCAAGGCAGCATCAACAAAGTTCTGCTTCATTTTGTCTTGTACAAATGCCCCAAGTAAAGCATATAAAACCTGCACAGGATTTATAATATTTCACAAATATCCAACAATACAACACATAACATTGTATAATGTTCATTTATCTTTATTATACCAACATAATTGTAATCAAATGAAAAAACATTTTTAAGTCAAAATCAAACATTCTTACATGAAAATTAGTGGTTAGATTAGACAAAAACTGACCTTTGCTAGCTCCCATTCTACAAGCTGTGAATCACTGGAGGACAAGCCATTCACAATCAGGGATATATCTATTACACAGGATCCTGATTCCAGCTTGGTAAAGTAGTGCTCTGAAAAATGTCAGAAAGATAATTGTATTGATATCAAACCTTCAAATCCCATTATATTGATAAAAACCTTAAAGAATATTTGTTTTAATATGATTAAAGTAATTCATGATTCTGTGAAATGAACACTGCTACAGAATTATAGAATTTAGTTTATTTAAAAGGATGTAAAGTGTACCTTGAGTTTCACTTGACGTCAATAGTAAATTATCTTCCTTCTTGATTGTTGCTATTAGTCTATATCTCACCATAGTGGAGGATTATTTTCGTGATCTAGACTAAGAACATTATGGACATTTATTTGTTGTCTATTTTATCAAGCTTTTCAAATAATCTATTTCTACTTACCCTCTATATACTCCTGAATCTTTATGTAGCATTCTGGTACTGAAGAAACAGTCTCGCATTTCTCACTGAAATTGAGCCAAATAAATATTTACAAATCATTATTTTTATAAATGAACTGCTATTATATCATTCCTTAAATAATCATCACCAATGAATCTAAAATGGTTCTTTTAGTGTTTTTCCTGGGAGAATCCCATTTTGCCACATTGGAAAATTTTTACACATAAATTGCATTAGAAGTTCTAATGCCAATAAATTCTTTAGGGAAACATCAGACTTACATATATAGAGAAGGTGTTGTTTATGGCACCTAGTTATATAGACAGGAAAAACACTATTTTTTTCGTGTTCAATTTTTCTTTTTGAGACTGAACTTTCTCCATTGCTTGAAATTGAGATCTTCAAAATAAGTAATAATGCTATTTGATGGTAAATATTTCCTTCTGCTTGGGTCCAAATAAGCAATACCTACACTTTACCTCTAGTGAACTAGGTGAAATCATTATATCTGCTTTGAACAATACATGTGGCTTTATATGTGAAGCACATAACATAGACAGAAGACATGTACATGAAAAAACAAGGGCACTGTAGACGAGTAAGAGAACTGAAGAGTTTGTTGTGGTGTTAAATGTATCAACATAATTTTGAATCACAATATCTTTCACACCAAAATATGCTACATACTGTACCTCAATCTCATAAGATTAATAAACACACGTCCATCAGCAAGGTCCAACAGTCTAGATATTTTACTGTCAGGGATCAGAGCATTTACCTAAAAACCAATCAATACAATTATAAATATCAACACAAATCATCATATCCTGAATCAGAAGAGGAGTTTTTATAAAAACATATTTAAAGATATTGACCGTAATTTTAAATGAGATCTGTAGACCATTATGGTTTAGTGGTAATCATTTTAAATTGACTGGTCAATCATGATCAATATCAAGTAATGTAAGGATCTGCATAAATGTTGTGTAATTATAACTTTAACATGTATAGCAAGGTATATAATGGTATATTTTGATCAGTGTATCTTCAATCACAAATGTAACTAATTATGTAAATACCCAGTTTATAAGAGCTTTTTCCTTCCTTGTGTCCATTTTGTCAGGTAAAAAGGTTAATGTTGAAAGTTCTTGTTTTTTCTCTGACCTGAAAATACAAACAGGAAACAATTCTTAAAAAGTAACAGAATAAATTTGTTTTAATGTGATTGCCAAGCCAAAGCAATTTAAACTAAAACATATTGTGTTTGATCCAAAACTCTTATGCAAATGTTGTCAATCAGTCTCCACACATATACTGTATCTCTGACAATTCTGAAAGTTAAATATCATAAATTGACTTAACAGAACAGAAGTCAGCTGATTGTTTAATGCTAGTGCCTGGGTTGCTTTTTTGGTTAAAGACCATCTTCTAAGCATGTTATACATTGTTTCCCAGGGCAAAAGTTGGTTCCAGTGCTAGTCCCCATCTGGTTGACATATAATTTTCAGTCTCTGGAAAAATTATATACAACAGGTGATAGCCTTTAATTTATAGACAATTGATCTTGGAGTCTAGGTTGAATGTTTCTTGTGTCTGTTGTATATTCCTCCATGAAATAAGGGGGAAATGATGTTAAAGAAAGATATCAAATTACTAAGATAACCATTTCTGTTTATACACCAACATGTTAATTGTTATATTTTTGACATATTGAATTCATAAATCGTGACTGACATGCACATGTCACTGCATGTTGAATTGTTACCACAAGCATTGAAATACTTCCTGAAAACTCGTTAAAAAAACAATAGTGAACGCGCGAACAATCCTGGTCTAACCGGTATCCCAACGTAGTAGGTATAAAACCGCATTAAACGGGCAAATATGTCATATTATGGTGGTTATTTGTCAATACGTTCATTTTTTTCAGTTCTTTCCCTAAACTTTTATTGAAGTATAAGTATTCAAAGCTGTATATGCAATTCAGCATGGCTCGATATATTGAGGTGGGCGGGGTGGATTTTAAAAAGTGCAATCACCTCAATACGTGATAAACTTGTTTACATTCACTTCGTCATTTGTTTTGAAGTATGTGCATTAACTATATCATGTTTGCTTATATATGCGAATTTGTTTATACCATAGGCAGCAACATATAAGCAACGTAAAATATATATTAAAGCATGGACTCATGCGGTCAAAAATACACGAACGTCTATAATCAGCTTTGAAGAAATTTTGGCCCGGGAAAATGTATAGTAGTGTTTGCCAATTTTGCTCGAAATAGAAATATTCTTAAACTGGTTACTTTTGTTAAATCAAAATAACGCAACACTTACCGTTTCAACGCAACTCAGATGTCTTATATGTTCGGCATGCTAGACAATTTCGTTCTTAGCAGCGAGGATCAGGGGCACCTGCTAAGCGACATATTTTGTTTTGAATTTTGCGCTAGTAGCCTCGTTTTGAGAACAGCTTTTGAAAACTAACCCGAAGAATAGAGTCGTGGATCGTAATAGCGTTTCATGCTACGTACAAGATTTATACCTTTGTTAGTATTTTTCACCGCGTTACGAAAAATTTAAAATAAAGTATCCTAGTGCTTCGAAAAAAGTCAGATACTTGAAGCAGACAATGAAAATTTTCATGTTTATTAGCTTGTTGAATTATAGAAAGAGAGCAGAAGAAAAATATCTAAACCGGTGTCTCGTTGAAAATGTTACCTCCAAATTATGTCCATGTTTCAGAAGCTATGAAATCTTGTACCATGTACTTACATCATTCGTCTTATATCCTTAGCCTGCCGTAGATATGACGGCTTAGTGTCGAATCTCCTTGGTCGTGTAATTGGAATTCTAGTAGGTTTGAAACTAAGATGCATTTTTGAGAAATTATGAAAAGCCTGCAGTATAGATGATGGAATGTTATTTCCGATTAGGAGGGATTTATATAGTTGAATTTCAACCTTCTTCAACCCACAACAATCGGCAAATGTATATCATCTGCTAAGTTTTTCATTATATATACACTAAAAAATGGCGGGACTAATTGTTCTAAGATGCATGCTAATGGATTGCCCCCAGGTCCCCGTTGCCACGCCCATCTCTGTCATATGGAAATAATTATTAGACAATTACTGACTATTATATTTAATCGCAGAAATGTTATCAGTGATCGAAAAGAAAACCCATCTTTATCCCCAGGATAATTAGTTGTTTTCAGCTGTAAGCAGTATTATAATCACGGTTGTTAAATGTAATAGTTTCACACATTTATGTTTCGGTGTGGAACCTATAACATGTCGGATTTACTGGCCCCGACTGTGTAATTGATATTTTAATAACAGTGTGCATACTGAGATTTATTTCTTGAAATATAATATCATAGTATTTAATATTAACAATATTGTGTGTGTGGATTATTTTTAATGGGATTCTAAACATTATGTTTATTTATTTCATTCTTTAAAACCTGTTGTGTCAACTGATAAATGAATGAGAATCCGATGTAATGTAACAAACATAGATATCGCCTCCACATTATACGAGAGGGAGAGGGGGGTGGGGGGAAATAAAGATTTCACATGTAAAATTTTATTGTTTCAATTTTCATCTTCTACGAAGTCCTAGCGATCAAATAACCAAACAAAACCACAGGCACTCGAGGCCAGGATATTATTTTTTAAACGTTGATTTTTGTTTTAGCACTCATGACAATTTTCATCTTCTACGAAGTCATTAAAAATACATTTTTAATGACCGATCAAATAACCAAACAAAACCAGACTGTGTACAAAACATGTCTTTTTTACTCGGTACAACAACGTTTATCGTCGTTATTTCTCATCAATCTGCGACAGGTTCTTCCTTTAATGTATTTGGCTTTGAGATATTATCAACAGATCTAGGAGAATTGGGTGTAAGTCTTCATTCTTACAGTCGTTCAGCGTCGTTATTACAAGAAAATTCAATGTCTATTACTGTAAGATAATTTTATTTCTCATTAGAAAGCCTTTTCAAAGAATGATTGTGTAATGTTATAACATGTCACAGGTATGCTTTGTTGGGAATTCACGCAGATATTAATACTGACAAAACACAATACTTCTCGGCAGCCCCAAATAATGTATGATGGATATAATATAAACATATCTGGATTTAATTGTTGTGCAATGCATATTGGGCCTGGTCATGCATATTGGGTCTGGTCATGCATATTGGGTCTGGTCAGTCATAATTTTGACACTCTTTTTCAAACGCAATGTCGTAGCTTCGTCACGGTGATTGTTTTCTGCGATTAAATGATTATTTGGTTTATTGTCAGTGGATAATTTGTACAATGTACTTCTAGTCCACAGATCGCCAATGAAACGTAGAATGATAATAAAGTTATTAATACCATTGAACCAGGGTTTCCTCTTCTTTCTGTGTTTTTTCTTGTGTTGATATAACCATGTTTATGAATCTCATTAAAATACATTGTATAATATTGGACAATCACATGACATCACATAACATTTTCTCATTAATATAGCAGAATGTAGTTGATTTCAACAAATACAGCACATGTGATAAAGACGTGTTTTACATAACTGTTCTGTTATCGATTTGATAACACCAATTATTTAGCGGAACTTGGATTGGTTGAGGGTCCGCATTGTTACGTAACTCAGTCATAGCGTCATATGCATTTTAACGTCTCAAAGAACGATATATAGCCTGTGTACGAATATCGCTTAATTTACATCTGTAATGAATTGTTGCTTAACACTGTCTGCAAATGTTTTGAATTAAACAGAATCATACATTTTATGAGATTTATGAAATTCGTCATTCGTTAATGTCGTGTCAGATCAGATAGGCATCAACGTACAAATGTACATTTTCTGAACAGTTATCAAAATGTTAGTTCAATGATGGCATCCAGCTTTTAAAGATGTCTATCACGAGGTACAAAGGAAAGTTCTACAAGGTGATGTTGTCAATCACATGATATGATTTGTACAGAAATACTACTTGAATTTGCACTAGAAAGGAAAAGATTGAACATCTTCATAGTAGATCCGGAAGCAGTGATGTAACTAACCGGAAGCAGGTATGTGTTACTATCTGGAGGCAGTGATGTTGCTAACCGGAAGCAGTGATGTTACTATCCGGAAGCAGTGATGTAACTATCCGGAAGCAGGTATGTGTTACTATCCGGAAGCAGTGATGTTACTATCCGGAAGCAGTGGTGTTACTATCCGGAAGCAGGTATGTGTTACTATCCGAAAGCATTAATGTTACTATCCGGAAGCAGTGATGTAACTATCCGGAAGCAGGGATGTTACTATCCGGAAGCAGTGATGTTACTATCCGGAGTCAGGGATATTACTATTCGGAAGCAGGGAAGTAACAATCTAGAAATCGAAAAAAAGGAATATTGAAATAATCACATAGCTGGGTTGAAAAGATCGAGGCAAGCGGTTTATGTCTGTTGGGTATATAAAGGATTTCGTGGTTTAATTCCATATGTATTTCAAGAATATGACAAAATATTGTCTGTTGCCAAAATGTTTACTTGGGAGTTCATGGTCAGCATAGATTTATTTATCTGATACTCTACATAAATGTAGTCGTTTTTGAAACTGATGCTTGGGATGTTATTAGAAGTTTTAAGCTAAACAAAGTCGGAATGTTGTAAGATCCAAAAACTAAAATTAATGACTCAACATTTTTGCATTTTAACTAAGGGTAGTGTAGCTTACGCCAATCTGTTTTCCTTTTAAGTTGGTTTATCAAATTTATTTTCAGGAAATTACACCATATGTTTATCAGTACGATAAGTAGGTTGTTGACAAGTTCAAACCCGTGACAGCTATATAGACAGTGAATAAGAAATTTACCCGGAAAATCTCATCAGATAAAAAAACCAAAAATAGTAAGACCAAAAAAACACACACATAAAGCACACAACAAAACACGTGCATAAAAAAACACAACAAAACACACACATAAAACACACAACAACAAAATACATAACAAAACACACACATAAAACACAAAACAAAACACACACATAAAACACACAACAAAACACGCAAATAAAAAACACAACAAAACACACACATAAAACACACAACAACAAAATACATAACAAAACACACACATAAAACACACAACAAAACACACACATAAAACACACAACAAAACATGCACATAAAACACACAACAACACACACAACAACACACACACATAAAGCACACAACAAAACACACACATAAAACACACAACAATACAATACATAACAAAACACACACATACAACACACAACAAAACACACACATAAAACACACAACAAAACACACACATAAAACACGCACATAAAACACAATTCAAAACAAAATATTATCACTAATACTGTCAATATTTAGTTTAGTATTCATTTATTATTTAACTGAAGTGTATATTCATTTTCAATAGCAAGGAGAGGACTTTTGTAGTTCATGCCTGTTACGTTAATTCCTTTTGCTAGTAAAATCATGACAATGAAATACAATGTATTCTGAAATGAAAATAACGTATTATGATTTAGTAAATGATAAGCATTCAACAAACAGCATACCTTATGTGGCGAGCAATTAACACTCTCTGAAAAAAGAAGAGTAACTTTGGCGCCTGGCCTCCTGGGTCAGTATGGCGTAGTTTCGCTTACCTTTGCTCCAAATATATTATGATTTTTTTATAAGTACGTTTTAATTAAACTAGGTTGAAAATAAACGGCTTCCCTATTCTAAAAAAGGGTATGCCAAGATTTTACAGCCAATTTGATTGTTTGGTATTCTTTTCTTGACATTTAGAGCAAACAGAGCTCGAGGTATAGATAATTTCTATTATACTTTAGCAGGACAAAAAAGGAACAGTAACTTTTGTGATATGAAGCTGTACGTATTTGATGCTCATTAGTTTGCCCACTGGTTCCATTGTTGTATACCTTATTCTTATTTTGAGAACGTGACATTATTTACGTTTTTACTCCTCCGGAACACCTGGTCTTATTCTCCTTGTACATTTCCAGGTATGTGTATATTTTCCTTTAGTTTCATTGAATTTGAGTTTGGATTATGATTACGTTGACATATTGGTATTTTTCTGTTCTTTTTTAAGATAAGACAGATATTCCGAACATCCGGAATCTTTTGAACTGGCACGTTGGGTATACTTACCATCATCAGACGTTCGGTATCCGAAACATCTAAAAGTGTAGTACGAAAAACACATGTTGACTATAATGTAAATAAATGGTTAAATTCGTATGTCGTACAGAACTGACATTTTGATCACAGGAAAAGAGATATACCTAGTCCTCCAAAATATAGAAAATTACTGCCATTCCCCATCTGAATCAACAGATTTTCCAAACGTGTTGGTTTTTACACATAACTAGTTGTATTATTGAAAACATATCTCTAGATATAATATAAGAGAATTTGTAAACATTTCTTAAAATACACACAAAATGCGATTGATTTATGTGAAATTATACACCAAGTTTACCCCATTTTTTTCCACATATATTTTTTCGATATGCTTCTGATAAATTTATTTTCCAACAAAAATTGAAAATAGACAATACGTGTAGACAAATGTGGCCTGAGACTAGAACAAGAACTGGAATAAGTATTTCTGTGTGTTTGCTTTGTTATATTTCTGTATCCTCAGTTCCGGCTACTTTTCATTGATCTGGTCTCTCGTATACGTTTTTATCCTTATTGTCATATTCTTAGGCTTTTCTGTCTCCTTGAAACTTATTTCAGCATCCTTTGATTTGACACCGGTTTAGGATTCTTATTAAACTTTTAAGTTTTGTGACGTTCTTGCTCGCATTCATTCTTCTTCAGATACAAATGCTGTATATTCGTTTTTTTTTAGATGTAACTCCGGTCCTAATAATTATAATATTTTAGCCTACTTTTATATTTCTCTGCTTCTTGATAATTGTTTCAACTCAGAACCAGATGTTTATAGTTTTATTTGTCGTATTATAAATTAAAGGAGGGGGTGACTTAAACAGGCTTCTTGTTTCTAGAAAACATATCGACATAAACTTACTTAAAGTAATAATTTCGTGACTTCTTGTCCCCATATAAAATGTGTCAAAAAGGTATTCACAATCAACTAAACGTTATAACATACGACCTGGGACATCATTCTTCTTCATACGTAGTTATACGTGTTTTAAAGGCACTGACAATGTAAAGTCTAGTTTAAAGTCACTGACAATGTAAAGTCTAGTTTAAAGGCACTGACAATGAAAAGTCTAGTTTAAAGGTATTGACAATGTAAAGTCTAGTTTAAAGTCACAGACAATGTAAGTCTAGTTTAAAGTCACTGACAATGTAAGTCTAGTTTTAAAGTCACTGACAATGAAAAGTCTAGTTTAAAGTCACTGACAATGTAAGTCTAGTTTTAAAGTCACTGACAATGAAAAGTCTAGTTTTAAAGTCACTGACAATGAAAAGACTAGTTTAAAGGCACTGACAATGAAAAGTATAGTTTAAAGGCACCGACAATGAAAAGTCTAGTTTAAAGTCACTGACAATGTAAAGTCTAGTTTAAAGTCACTGACAATGTAAAGTCTAGTTTAAAGTCACTGACAATGTAAGTCTAGTTTTAAAGTCACTGACAATGAAAAGTCTAGTTTAAAGTCACTGACAATGTAAAGTCTAGTTTAAAGGTATTGACAATGTAAGTCTAGTTTAAAGTCACTGCCAATGTAAGTCTAGTTTAAAGTCACTGACAATGTAAAGTCTAGTTTAAAGTCACTGACAATGTAAAGTCTAGTTTAAAGTCACTGACAATGTAAAGTCTAGTTTAAAGTCACTGACAATGTAAGTCTAGTTTTAAAGTCACTGACAATGAAAAGTCTAGTTTAAAGTCACTGACAATGTAAAGTCTAGTTTAAAGTCACTGACAATGTAAAGTCTAGTTTAAAGTCACTGACAATGTGAAGTCTAGTTTAAAGTCACTGACAATGTAAAGGTCACTGACAATGAAAAGTCTAGTTTAAAGTCACTGACAATGTAAAGTCTAGTTTAAAGTCACTGACAATGTAAAGTCTAGTTTAAAGTCACTGACAATGTGAAGTCTAGTTTAAAGTCACTGACAATGTAAGTCTAGTTTTAAAGTCACTGACAATGAAAAGTCTAGTTTAAAGTCACTGACAATGTAAAGTCTAGTTTAAAGTCACTGACAATGTAAGTCTAGTTTTAAAGTCACTGACAATGTGAAGTCTAGTTTAAAGTCACTGACAATGTAAAGTCTAGTTTAAAGTCACTGACAATGTAAAGTCTAGTTTAAAGGTATTGACAATGTAAGTCTAGTTTAAAGTCACTGCCAATGTAAGTCTAGTTTAAAGGCACTGCCAATGAAAAGTCTAGTTTAAAGTCACTGACAATGAAAAGTCTAGTTTAAAGTCACTGACAATGAAAAGTCTAGTTTAAAGTCACTGACAATGTAAAGTCTAGTTTAAAGGTATTGACAATGTAAGTCTAGTTTAAAGTCACTGCCAATGTAAGTCTAGTTTAAAGGCACAGACAATGTAAGTCTAGTTTAAAGTCACTGCCAATGTAAGTCTAGTTTAAAGGCACAGACAATGTAAGTCTAGTTTAAAGGCACTGCCAATGTAAGTCTAGTTTAAAGGCACTGCCAATGTAAGTCTAGTTTAAAGGCACAGACAATGTAAGTCTAGTTTAAAGTCACTGCCAATGTAAGTCTAGTTTAAAGGCACTGCCAATGTAAGTCTAGTTTAAAGGCACTGCCAATGTAAGTCTAGTTTAAAGTCACTGACAATGTAAAGTCTAGTTTAAAGGCACTGCCAATGTAAGTCTAGTTTAAAGTCACTGACAATGAAGAGTCTAGTGTAAAGGTATTGACAATGTAAAGAACTATTGCTATCAATGTATTTCTTGAGGAGTGCTGCAAGGATATTTCTCAAACTTAAATGTGAAGTTTTCCTCGTTTTTTTCGTTGTGCGCATTTCATTTGGAGTTATTTCAGGTGTATAGCTCCTCGCTGAACCCTCATTGTACCATTCACTGGTAAATAAAACCGAGAAAATCGGGAAAATGACGGGCGACCATATTATATTTTGATACTGAAAGTTTGTTATTGCTATTTGAGAAGTACCGGAGGGGTCTTTCTCATATTTCATTTTGAAAAAAGATCGGCCTGATCGGAGCTAATTTATCGGCCATTGAGAAAGGAATCTCTTTTTCGTAACAAAAATGATAGTTGTAAGCTAAACTGACATGAAATAAAAAAATAGATATTAATAATAATAAGAGACTGCTCTCAGATTCGGACCGACAGTAGTGTTCAGTATAACAGTTATTCAGATGTAATCAATGGGTATTGATCGCAAAAGCACAATCAAATTCAATTGTTCAGCTTTACTGACACTACTACGGAGAAAAGTCATAAATAAAAACAACAAGACCAGTAAAAACGATTTTTTTCCTGTAGTTTTACAAACAAATAAAGGCGGAATCCGCTAATTAAGTATATGTCCTCGTTTTAAGTTAAATAGATTTTGAATAATCTACAATAGGTCCCAGATGAAATGTGAATAGTAGGATGACTTAACACTTCCATACAGTTTCAATATGTATGGAAAGAGTAAATAAATCAGAATGCAATTATGTGCAATAACAAAACAACGGAAATAAATAATGCTTTCGCGCGATAATATTCGCCAAAGCTAAACGTCATTACCTCCCTTGACAAATTTATTCGTGGACCAATCGGAGAGTGCGTTACAAAAGAATTAACACGATGATGAGATAGTCACGAAGAAAAGCACTTTTCTTAGATTTTGGAATGAAATGCAGATAAAACAGGTTTGATACACTTATCATTGTCTAAATCAGATGTTGTTGCTACCAGTTGTACTAAAATTCACCACCAAAGGGACATTTTGCTGCTTTTATTCAATAAATTCCGTTTATTAAGGGACTCGAGAATAGGTCATTCGGTGCGGACTGTGATTTTGACTCGGTTTAAAATTGTCCGAGGACAATTAGTCGTAGTTGATACATGCGCGAAGTCCATGAATGTATATTAATACACTTTTGAACTTTCATCTGTTAAGAAACAATTAAAAAGTCATTGTATCAAAATGAAGAGAGCGGGTTAGGTTCTATTTAATCTGTGAAAACAGTTGTATATTTATTTCGTTTTTGAGAAGTATGTTATTTTAGATTATGAACCAATGTTTGGGATTTAAACAAGTTGAGTTGATGGTTTTTCGGCCTTTTTAAGTTGAACTCAAGGGAAATAGATAAAAAGAGTGTAAAGGAACTTAATTTGGATTAAACTAATCTAGGCCACATTACATTGATTTAAGCCACATAAACCAATATTCAAGATGGCTGGCATCCGCCATTTTTGATTTTGACCTTTGAAAGATGTGAGCTCTGGTATTTCTTCGAAATTACTGACTTCATTGTCTTGAAATGTCATTTTAAAACTACTCGTAATTGTCTTAGTTGTGCATACCACATTAATACATTTATCAAGATGATTGCCACTAATGAAATTTGTGTATATTTTTGTTATTTTTTAAACCAAACACATTTCTGTGGTATTTGAAAGAGTTCTCTACATTTTCTCTAAATAGCTGGAAAACAGTCTTTTAAGAACTGAAAGAGATTTGAATTATGACAAAGGCCAACAAGGTCCACTGTCTACCACCTCTTGCTAACTCAGTCTTTATCATTAAAAAACATGTAGTGCAATTAATTAGGAATGGAATGGACACAGAAAAATTTGGAATGAATGCTGTCATCCTTTCTAGCTTTCAAAAAGAAAGTGACATAAATCAGCTTGTAAAATTGTGACCACGAAAACCACATCATTTGTTAAAGTCTTGACAAATATTTTAACTAATCCTGTTTAGTAGAGAATATTATCAAATGATATTTTAGATGGCTAGATTAATATTTATTAAGATGGACACCTCTCCTTGATGGAGATCAATGACAACCCTGTATCATATGATGTACATTAAGGGAGATATGTCACTTTCTATTTAAATGTACTCATATGTGATCACAGTGCTGATATAACATTATTCAAGCAAGACCTCTTCAGAAGCCTGAAGAGTACATCTCGGCTCTGTCTTCATCAGCACTTACAAATGAAGAATTACTACACATAATTTACATTTTTAACTGTTTGTACATATACACAGTCTCAAGGACCTGTCAATATGTCAATCTGCAGGAAATGGAATGAAAATTGATAAATTTATGATTTGATTATATATTGTGGCAAAACTTTACATGAAAGTCTCAGACTTAAAAAAACTTTATATCATTGCTTGAATTTATGCCTGTTACTATCTTTTATGTTACTTTCAGTTTCTAGTGGGCACAGTGCTGTAGTGACAATGACGACTGAACTCCCAGCCAACACAATGAGCCTACAGCAGCAGCAGCAGCAGCAGCCTAGCTTGGACCTGTCCAGTTATATGGACATTGTCACCACTTACAAGTGTCGCTTCTGTACCTTCACTAGCACAGTACCACAGACTATTGGTCTCCACATTCGTCAGGTACATGTTGCACAAGGAGAGTTTATGGCTCAAGAGACAAATAATGACTCTGCAGAGGTCAAGGACACAAAGAACACAGAGAATAAGATCACAACAACTAGTATTTATCAAGATTCAAATGTAAATGGTGTACAGGATGTATCTGAGCAGACAGCCAACAACCAAATTACACAAGTAATGACCAATTTCGTTGATATGGAAACATCAGCTGTTTCTGTCTTACCACTGTCTATGGAGACAACAACTGCTGATGCCATTTTACAATTGTCCACAAGACTGCCAGACAGTAACGGCGATGTTGATGATGGCTCATTGTCAGAGAAAAGTAACTCTAATGATGACAACACAAATATAACTCACTTTGTCACTGTCCATGAGGAAGACCAGGATGAAGAAAGTTTTACTGCTGACCCCACCATTATCCAACAGAGCTTCCAACAGGTCCATAGCAACAGACAGCCTGTAATGACAACGGGAGAATCCCAGACTGCGATACAGGAACCCTCCATGGAATCTGAATCATTGATACTGACTGATGCCAGTCAGCAGAAGTCAGCACCAGTCACAAGAGAGCTCTTTCTATGTGGTCAGTGTAGTATTGGGTTTAATAGTATTGATGAGTGTCGGGCTCACATGATGGATGACCATGCTGATATGAGAGTGGAAGAGGATAATGAACTCTCACATCGCGTCAGTGTGGGAACCCAGGTGGAGACTACAAAACGTGGTAGGAAAAGAAAAACAGTAACTGTTAAATCTGAATCACCACCTTATGCATTAGACTCAGACCCAGACCTAGACTGGGATGATCAGGAAGAGTATAAGCCACGAGGTAGTCGGTCTCGTAGAAAGATACGTCCTCCAAGGGCTCTGAAAGAAGATTACTACCTCGGTAAAAGTAAAGTAAAAGAAAAACCTAAAGTTATGCAAGGGTTTAAACTGAAGTGTGATGAGATTGGTTGTTGTGCCAAATTTAGGACTAAAGAGGCACTTGAAGTGCATTTAAAATGTCACATGACTGATGTTTTTGAATTTAAGTGTCCAGAATGTGATAAATCAAATGAGACTTGGAAACAGATTCGTATACATCTGTGGAAAGTTCATGAAATTGATACAGATCTATTGACTTGTGATATTTGTGGAAAATTTAAAACTGATACTATGAGTCGTTTGTTGATCCACAAGGAGATTCACAGTGTCGACCGCCCCTACACATGTGACATCTGTGGCAAAGGTTTCCGACAGTTTAGCCAGATGAAGAATCATCAGACAATTCATGGAGAGCACCAGGAAGATGATCCAAGTAAATGGTATCACCGAAAGGAATGTCACATTTGTAAACGACAATACGCCAATCAAAAGTGTCTTATAAAGCATATTGAAGCTGTTCACAGTAAGATTAAACCCTATGTATGTCCATACTGTGGTCATACAGCAGCACGTAAGGCCATGATGGAGCTCCACATCAGGACTCATACTGGAGAGAAACCTTTTAAGTAAGTCAAACCATACAATACAGCCGAAGCCCTAACTGCATAAATAATGGATTTGCAGGATTTGTGATGATGTGTGACAAAAAGAAAGCAAACTGGTAGAATTAATTTACTCTTTGTTTGATATTGTAATTCTCATGATACATGAAGCAAATACTATTCATACTTAATTCACATACTTTCAGTTAGTGAACATGTGAATTCCAGTAACTTAAGTGGTACTAGTTGTATGTACTTTATTTTGAACTTTATCAGACTTTTTGTGATGTGTTTTGTGTTGTACATGATGTTTACTTATTATATTAAAATGCTTTTTATTTTAGGTGTGACAACTGTCAGTATGTGACGGGTGACCACAATTCCCTGCGTCGTCACAAGATGCGTCATTCTGGTCAGAAGCCATATAAATGTCAGTTTTGCGGATATTCCTGCATACAAGCCATTTCCATTAAAATGCACATGAAGAACAAACACCCTGGAGGAAATATTGGTGTCTTCTGCTGTGACATTTGCACCTTCCGCACAGTCAATGAGGTGAGCTTCAAAGGTCATATGGAGGACCATAAAAATGGCCTCATTGTTGAAAATGCTCCGCCTGTGCCACAGCAACAACCCAGACCTCACATCATTATACAACAACCAGCAATCAGTTCACAATTTCAGCAAGGTGACAAAATGGAAAAAGTCACAGTGCAAGGTGCAACAAGTATGAAGTTTGGTGAGACAATTAACTTTCAAAGTTTAGGTCAAATTGAGGGTCAAACCATTGAGGAGCATGTAGTTGAGGTTCCTATGGACAAAATGGAAGACAATCAACTCCAAATGCAAATTCAAACATTAGAGTCTGGGGAGACTCAGATCAGTGAAGAAGATTTAACAAGACTTTCAAGTTATGAAGGACTTGTACCCTCTGACTTGTCTGCAGCACAGCTTGTGCTATCAGCCTTGAATGCCATATCTTCACAGAATTCTGAACGAACCAACAATGAAACACCACAAATTTTGAATGGTGTAGAAACATCCATTATGTCATCAGATATCAAAGATGGTGTAACTACACACACCATCACTTTTCACATGCCTGCATCAGCTGCTGAGAATGTGGTCGGTGCCACAGAGACTATTACAGATGCAATGGTTGCAGACAATGTTGTGGATATGACAGAATCTATTGGGTCTCTGAAAGGGGTAGAGGACACTACTAGTGTACAGAATGGCATGTTAATCCTATCAGGTCAGCCTGTCACTCTTAACCCTGTGATTATGAATAGTGATCAGACAAGTAGTGCTACAATCCAGGACCTGGCTCAAGTCAGCTGTCTTATGGTCAACCAGTAACAGACATTTCAAATAATTCCAAATTGTGATGATTGTTGAAATGTTAAACATCAATAATTTTGCCTATTTAAAAAGCCATTGTTTCAGTATAAATGTTTCAATTTGTAAAGCACTTTGCTCAAATAATTTCCTTCCTTTGCACCTCAAAAAGAATTTGATGAGTTTAATACATTTTTAATTTGTAGCTTCTTTTCAATGTTGAATGTTTTTTGTTCAAAGCATAAGAAAAAGGAAGTTCAAGGAACCAGTTGAAATACAACAATCCTTGTAGATTGCAGCAGCTGTGTAGATAATTACTTACAATCTAGTCTATGGATTACTACATGTATCTAACTGCTAAAGCATGCAGGTTACCTTCATGTGTTTCATACTCAATGTGTTTCAGATTAAGGAAAAGTATTTGTAAATCTTAATGCAAATTAATATTGTATCTTATGATTCTTATAAGGCCAATGTTTCTCTGGTATTGAAGACAGTATAAAAATTGGATGTCTTGAAAATGAAATAGTTACAAAGAAATTAGTTACTCCATTCATGACTTCAGTGAAAAAAAATACATGTGATTAAAGTGCATCTGGAAAATTTAGAATTAAAAAAAAAGAAAGAAACCAAATCCTTTACATTGTATCAATTAACAATCATTTTGAATAGGAAGAATTTTAGACAAAAAAAATGGTTTATTGGTATTGATGTGTATCACTTGATTTACTGCTGAAAGACCAACTTACTATATAATGCATAGTGTGAAACCATGTTTATTTATTAATTTTTTGAAATGCCCTCTGTGCATCACATTATTTGTCTGGCTTTGTTCATCTTCCGGCATATGTCAATAAACAATTTTTATTTTTGACTTCTTCTCAGAATGCACTGAAACAATTTTAATGTAAATTTGCGGAAACCTTCCATGGGAACCAAAAGTATGAATTAGATGGTCCCAGCCTCCTCTCTCGAGGGGCCTGAGGGATGGGATAAAAAAATGTAAATTTGTGGAAACCTTCCATGGGAACCAAAAGTATGAATTAGATGGTCCCAGCCTCCTCTCTCGAGGGGCCTGAGGGATGGGATAAAAAATGTAAATTTGTGGAAACCTTCCATGGGAACCAAAAGTATGAATTAGATGGTCCCAGCCTCCTCTCTCGAGGGGCCTGAGGGATGGGATAAAAAATGTAAATTTGTGGAAACCTTCCATGGGAACCAAAAGTATGAATTAGATGGTCCCAGCCTCCTCTCTCGAGGGGCCTGAGGGATGGGATAAAAAAATGTAAATTTGCGGAAACCTTCCATGGGAACCAAAAGTATGAATTAGATGGTCCCAGCCTCCTCTCTCGAGGGGCCTGAGGGATGGGATAAAAAAATGTAAATTTGCGGAAACCTTCCATGGGAACCAAAAGTATGAATTAGATGGTCCCAGCCTCCTCTCTCGAGGGGCCTGAGGGATGGGATAAAAAATGTAAATTTGTGGAAACCTTCCATGGGAACCAAAAGTATGAATTAGATGGTCCCAGCCTCCTCTCTCGAGGGGCCTGAGGGATGGGATAAAAAAATGTAAATTTGCGGAAACCTTCCATGGGAACCAAAAGTATGAATTAGATGGTCCCAGCCTCCTCTCTCGAGGGGCCTGAGGGATGGGATAAAAAAATGTAAATTTGCGGAAACCTTCCATGGGAACCAAAAGTATGAATTAGATGGTCCCAGCCTCCTCTCTCGAGGGGCCTGAGGGATGGGATAAAAAAATGTAAATTTGCGGAAACCTTCCATGGGAACCAAAAGTATGAATTAGATGGTCCCAGCCTCCTCTCTCGAGGGGCCTGAGGGATGGGATAAAAAAATGTAAATTTGTGGAAACCTTCCATGGGAACCAAAAGTATGAATTAGATGGTCCCAGCCTCCTCTCTCGAGGGGCCTGAGGGATGGGATAAAAAAATGTAAATTTGCGGAAACCTTCCATGGGAACCAAAAGTATGAATTAGATGGTCCCAGCCTCCTCTCTCGAGGGGCCTGAGGGATGGGATAAAAAAATGTAAATTTGTGGAAACCTTCCATGGGAACCAAAAGTATGAATTAGATGGTCCCAGCCTCCTCTCTCGAGGGGCCTGAGGGATGGGATAAAAAAATGTCAAATTAACTCAAAGTCTTCTCATGATGCATAGATTGGATCTTCAGGTACGGTACCAAAATCATAGATCCCTTAGGGTCTCTCATTTCTCCATGTAGGGAAAGAGTAAAATTTAGTTTGAGCTTGTACATTGAGGTACATTTGGATTGTTACAGATACAGTCAGGACTTTCCTTATACAACATTATAAGATTGAGATATATTAGCAAATTAACATTGTTGCTGAATGTCTTGCTCCATAAAAAATGATGATTTTGTTGGATTGGGAGATAGGGATAACTGATGACATGCTGAATGTTAAATCAGAATTAGTATTCATACATGAAAAGTTTTGCTTGTAGAACCTCCAGCTATTAATAATCATCATCACATCAGTATTTACTTGTACCCTTATCTGTATAAGTAGCATTTAGGTGCAGAAGATTTCTAGTCATACAAGTCCTGAAACACAGCATTACTGTACATTATCTAAACTGTCCATTCCAACTTTGTGTTAAAACGTTTCAGTACAACTTGTTCTGTACCCAAACAATGTAATGTTTCTCCAAGGGTTTATAATAAGTTTTAGTCTCTAAAAGTGATTTCTAACTTGAGTTCTAAGAGATAAACATGCCTGTACAATCTAAGTCCTGATTTTATACTGTCTTTGCATTATGATATGCGTGTAGAGTTATATCTAATAAACTTTAAAATAATTATTCTTGCTCTTTGTGTTTATTATCTAAGATCCATCCATTTGTCATCCGGCAACAACTTCTCCTCAATAACCAATGGACCAAATGTTTTAATATTTGGCTGGTATGCTCCTAGGATGAAGTTTGACAAAGCTTGTGAAAAGAAATTACCTTGACTTAAATTCAAGGTCACAGGGGCTGATTTTGTTAAAATCTTTAAATGACTTTATCTGATGAACTAAAAGGGCTAGAGGCATGATATTTGGCTGGCGTGTTCTTTGATGAAGCCTGACAAAGTTTGCAAAAATAAATTACCTTGACCCATTTTCATTGATTAGCTAATAAATGGTTCTTAATAAATATCTGTTTGTTGTTTCTTTAACATTTTTTCAATGAAATCATTGTTTTTTATAATATTGAATTTGTCCTGTAAAAACAAGTGAATATGATATATATGTAATAGTAAAATATAATCAACATCTAAAATATCATTACTGCAAAAACATGCAACATGTGATTGCTGCTAAAGTATATAGATGTATCACAACAGCTGAAAGTAGTTTTCATGACACAGTGTTTTGTCTCTATATAGGGTCAACTTAAGCAGCACCTTGAGTCAGATAGATTTTACATGCCTGTCAACAAGAATTTTGGCATCATGTGAGTGGGCGGGTGAACGGCGGAACATGTGGTGTCCATTTGATAACTTGAGTAGGTTTCAATACAGCAACTTCAAACTTCATAGGGAGGCTCATTACCACGATCGCGCAAACAAGTTCAATGATCGTAATTTTCTGACCAAAGTTGACAAAATTATGGCCCCTTATTCAAGTACCAAAACACTGTCTGCTCAATATCGCAGGTAGTTTTCACCAAATCAGCTACAAACTTCAAGGAAAGGTTCAATACACTGTACTGTAATAGTTCAGACTTTTCCGATCACTGTAATTTTTGGATTGTAATTCATGAAGTTATGGCTGCTTATTCAATTACCAAAACAGTGTCCACTCAATATTGTGACAGATCAACTTTAACCATTATAGGAAGGTTCTTACCATGAAAGCTTGGACAAGCTCGATGACCACAATTTTAGGATCGAAAATTATGGAGTTATGCCCCTTCATTCAATCATCATTACCATGATCACCTATAAAAAGTTTGATGACTGCATTTTTTTCTCTGAAATTCACAGGGTTATGGCTCTGTATATAATTAGCAAAACAATGTCTGCTCTTTATCTTGATTAGTTTTCAATAGATCAACTTCAAACTTTGTAGGGAGGTTCATCACCATTCAAGTTAGGACAAGTTGGAAAATCGCAACTTTCAGTCTGTAATTCAAAGAGTTATGGCTTCTAATTTCAATAATATTTCTAAACAGTGTCCGCTTGATATCTTCAGGAGTTTCAAACGGATGCATTTAAAACTTCATTGGGAGGTTCATTATCACCATAGTTAAGACAAGTTTGATAACCTATAAAATTGATGAAACATGACTTCAGATTATCTCAGAATGTTATTACCATTGACGCTCAGTGATTTTCTCCAGTTTCCTCCACCATTACACAAATTGCACTGTCTATATGACCTTAATGTGTTGATCAGACATTAAACATTCAACTTATGAGAGGTGTACATGTATCATGTATCGCTCATAAACTCTTCTTGCTTATAGCATGCGAAGGCATGAAATATCTGTATTATAAAAATATACTTCTGATTTTGATATTCAATCGTTAAGCCAGCAATGCCATTGATTTTTCAGGACAGAACCCAAAGCTTTCTTCACAGGAGCGAATACTTACTTAAGTATATCTTTCTGGAGCAGGCCTATAAGGCCTCTATACCAGACTCTTCAGGTTCATCCCAACTAGTTGATGGGTCACCACTTCCGAATGCTCAAGTAAAGGCCCTACCAAGTTGACTAATGTTAGTCAAACAGAGGGTGGTAAATAGTTGATACAAATGCCAGAAAACAACACATTCCTTGAAGTGAACCAGTATTAGACAAATGTATATTGAATTTGCCATTTCTGTACGAACAACTAAAGTATGCGACACTTTAAAATTAACTTTTAATCGCTTTGATCAGACGTTTAGTCCTAGTAAGTATGTATCATGTACACTTGGGTAATGGGTATGGAAGCCATTCTCCAGGGATGATCAACTTTGTTTTTCTTTGCTGAATATCGGACACAGATCATCATTCAGTTCAAATTCCGTTTCCAGAAATATTTAACCGATATAGAAGCATTACTTCTTAAAACGGAGAATCTGCACTACCCATTACCATGAAAGAAAAAAAAACAAACAATGAAAGAATAACGATTTAAAAAAAAACAACAAAAAACAATAACAACAACAACCACTTACACTCAACCAAAGATTGCATGTTGGGTAAAGTGAAAGTAAAAGCAGTGTTCGAACTCTTTCTCGTGGAGGCGTAGATAGTAAGTCACAGGTTAACAAAATGGAGGCCGACGGAACTCTGATAGATAATGCGGAACGAGAAAAGGGAGACAGGGAACATGAGGACGCAGTAGATATGCTGGAAAGACTTTCGAAGGATTATTCAACCTACCTCGAAATTGATGCTTCCAAAGACGTAATTTTTTCAGTTTACTATGTCCATATACTCTTCCTCTGTTCGGGCAGTAAAAAGTTGGTGATAAGATAGAAAAAAAAAACAATTGCTTAAAACATGTCAAAAGTGTGAGGACTCAGAAGTAAAATGCTTATCAGAGATTATTCAGACAGACCAGAGAGGAAGAATTCCTCCTCGGCGTGAGCCGGAATATTTTACATTGTCCCAGTTCCACTTACCCTACATGTACACTTATGAAACGGGAAATTCATTTTGATTGGCAGGTCCAGTACAGTCTGCAGATCGGTCTATCTAGCTCGATACACTTATCATAGTTATCGATCGACAGATTGTACTGAACCTTATTGATTGAAGAGGTTCGGTCTTCAGTTGTCACAGTACTGTGTTGACATTTTAGCGTTCTGAAAGGAAAGGTGAATTGATGACTAGATAACATTTTAGTAATTTCTAAAGCAGGATAGAAAGTGATCTTGATCTGGAAGTTTCATATCCTCTTGTGTCGGTATTGTAATTGCATTTGGTTATACTTATTGGTTACAACATGTTTAGATTTGTATATGTCTGCTTTAATTCACTGTTTGCAGTATTTCAAGTTGGGATTCAAAATGTCTCAACACAGGTTCTACTAAAAGGTTTAACTATTTAAAATTTTTAGCAGAAAAATGCAATTAAGACAAGATTTTCATACCTTTAGGTATGTTTAGGATATACAACCTTCATTGTCGAAATCTTCAGGTTTTCTTTTTCTAATGATTTGCCATTCAGTTACTGATAGTATAAAGATGCTGACACCTTGCATAGAGGATTTTTAGGTATCAAACATGAATGCTGTGGTTTCAAATTGTGAAAATAAATGAATTAGTCACATTTCTTTATGAACCATATATCCTTATAAATGATTACAGTATAAGATTTTGGGGACCAGTAGGGAGCATGTTGTTTTCTTCAGCGATACTCAATACATATACTTTTGTATAATTTCCTAAATTGCTTTGATAAGGTTCCACAATCTTTCTGCCATCCAGACTTAGTGCTGTGTATTTTCGAAATGGGGGCCTTTTCTTATAAAATGGAGTCCTTCTGACAGTTTGAGTAAAATACCTAAAAATAACTGTGATAAGTTTTTTTATACCAGGTATCTATGTTTCAAAATGTTTTTTAAACCATATTATATATGCAACTATAATGGAGTTGTATTGACTTTTTTATTTTAACAGAAAAGTAAATTTGGAGAAACCATTGAAGATATGTTGACAAAACTGGATGAATTTGGCAGTCTTGTGGACATGGTGAGAGAGAACTGTATGAAATAATTTGATGATATCTTCAATTAAGTTAGCAAATTCTCAATGCAAAAGGGGAAGTAAAAACAAATTTGCTTGTGTAAATGTGTTGATAATTAAAGCAAACTTCATCAATTTCATGACATATGTTAAAATTGATTGAATATTACAGATTCGCAGTGATTCCACTCTATGCCTAACTTCCACCTTGCCAAAGGTACAGGAGAAGCAGGCTGAAATCCAAGCTATATTTGACAAGATTGACAGACTGGAGGTTTGTTGATTCAATAACCAAAATGTGTATGGTCAGCTGGTTTACATGTTTAACATCCAGGCAGTCATTTTTGGGCTGATGCTGTATATACTACTGTATACACTACATTTGTTTTACAAGAAGTTCAAGGCACAGTATAATCTATAACTCAAAGGATTAGGAAAAAAACTGACTTATTACACAAGACAATAATAAACATATAAACTATATGTTGACATTATTACTATACCAGAATAGAAGTGGATGAACTTCATATGAATCACAGGGTTTCATCAGAATAAATACTGTAAGGACAGATATTTTGGAGGACAAGTCACACGGTTTCAAAAGAATAAATACTGTAAAGGCAGATATTTTGGAGGACAAGTCACAGGGTTTCAAAAGAATAAATACTGTAAGGACAGATATTTTGGAGGATAAGTCACAGGGTTTCAAAAGAATAAATACTGTAAGGACAAATATTTTGGAGGACAAGTCACAGGGTTTCAACAGAATGAATACTGTAAGGACAGATATTTTAGAGGACAAGTTACAGGGTTTCAAAAGAATAAACACTGTAAGGACAGATATTTTGGAGGACAAGTCACAGGGTTTCAACAGAATAAACACTGTAAGGACAGATATTTTGGAGGACAAGTCACAGGGTTTCAAAAGAATAAATACTGTAAGGACAGATATTTTGGAGGACAAGTCACAGGGTTTCAAAAGAATAAATACTGTAAGGACAGATATTTTGGAGGACAAGTCACAGGGTTTTAAAAGAATAAATACTGTAAGGACAGATATTTTGGAGGACAAGTCACAGGGTTTCAACAGAATAAATACTGAAAGGGCAGATATTTTGGAGGACAAAAAAATATACTCTTTCATGAGAACAAGGACAAACCAATTATAATTAGTTTCAGACAAACCATAGATCTTTCAACCTGCTTTCAGATGTTCACAGTATTGGATATAGAAGGGATTCAGGTTAAGGTCATGTGTAAATGTTTTATTGGCAGGCTTTTGTGTCGGTGGTACGTGAGAACATAGCCACGATGGAGGACTGTGTTAACAAGGCAGAGGACGAGATGGGCTCATTTAGTGGTCTCAAGAAAATGCTTTCCTCATTTGTCAGTCCAGTAAGTCATTATCAGAATTATTGACACAATTAGTTACAAGTCTGTCTTGATACTAAAGAAGTTTTCTACCAGGAAGACAAGGAATATATACAAGTAATTGCCTTTATTAAGAGTACATTTGAAATTTGCAATTTAACTTCACTGGTCATTGTTCAAGTTATACTGATAAAAATGCTGCAAATTTGAAACAGGTTTTTAATATACAAATTGACCATTGACTAAATTCTACTTTAGCAACAATGTGATTGAATCAATGCATCCAACATGCTGGTTCTGATACAAGGACACTAAAGGGCATGTGACTGAATCAGAATCCAATCAATGCTATAGAGGTGGAAAGTTGAGATGCAATCTTATTTGATCTAAATTCTTAATAAAGGTTTGAAGTGTGGATCACAGTTTGTAGAAGTGACTAGTTTGGATATAATTTAACAAATTCCGTTCTGTACATTACATTTACCTTTCTGTGTGCTTTCAGCATTTACACTGCATGTGTCCAACTGAATACAGAAAAAACTTACTAGAATAAAAATACTTCGCTGAAGTGAAGAAAGCAATACTTGTATAAAATATATGACTTCTCTTGAGAAGAAATCTATGCACAATCCCTTGATCATGAAATATGCCCTCTGGATGGTTGGCTTGTCTGAAAGTGTTTTCAACCAATATGTTTCATGAATAGGTGTTTTTGTGATCAGTACAAAAAACATCTTTCAAAACAATACTCCATTGTTTACCTTTAAAATGTGTTAAAATGATTCCATTAAAATTTAGATGAAACACAGCAGCTTTCAACTCTGCATCGTTTCTAGCTTGGATGAATTAATGAGTTAGTTTCTTTTTCAAATTGGAGATAACTATACATATTGTTTGTGATGATCTTCCTGTTCAGGGTAGGTACTGAGTACAAGGCCTACTGATGCAAGTATGTGCCAAGGTGCATAGCTTACAATTGTTATCACAGGTGTTGATTTCATGGTCAGCTGGTGGAAGGTATTGTTTCAATTATTTCAGACAGTAAGTTGGTTTAGTATTAGGAATTGAGAGGAGTTGGTATTGGGAAGTTTTTCATTGCTATGATATAGAGGATATAATTCCATACATCGCCACTTCATTTCATAAAGAGGTGATTGGTTTCGCAAAGGATTGGTTCAAGGACAAATGTCTAGCAAGATCCAGGCAGATTTGTCGTTAGAGCATATGTATTTTTTATCAAAATGAATGCATATGATTTGATTTGTTAAAGGGAGTCATATTGTACATTTACATTTTTTGTATACTTCAGCATATTTTATTGAATCTCTTTATATATTTCAGAAACGTTCACAAACTAAAGACAATAGAACTGTATCATTCACCCCTCCACATATCTTTCGAACAGAGGAATATTTTCCCCAGCAGCCAGCACAAAAGCATGAACCAGGGGAGACAACTGATTTTTCAAAAACTAAGAGTAATGTCACACCTGAGGAGTCAACAGCCTCTTGATAATTAATGTTTTAGTTAATATAGAGTAGTTCATTTCGAGATTTGTGAATGTGAAAGAGAGTGAGTGTGTGACAGAGGTGAATGCTTACATGATTAGACACATTCCAACAAAATATTAAAGTTAAGTAGAGATAAATTTTCTTAATTTGAAATTGCCTAGCATTAATTCTCAGTTATAATTCAGTAATTGATAGCTGTCTGAAGTTCCTTTTAAACCTGTTTACAATGATTGTGGTGTATTATTTAGAGGGTCCAGGATAGCCTTGTCAGTACCAGCCAATGCAGCTTCAGATGAAGATGTGTAATGGAGATGTATGGTTTATATCCCTTCTCAGGGCAGTTTGTCTCTGGAAGCTGAAATCATGGATCAGTCTATGCTGTCTTGATTGTAGTCCTATTTCTCTAGATGGCATGTGACGACCTCCTGTATATTTTGTTCATTGTCAGTGAGGTAACCACCTAAACTACATTATGGTACTAATGCCAAAGTTACTGAAGTATATCATATCTATAGAAAATGATGAACTTTGAAATAATGAATCTGATGTGAACTTATGATGTTACACTGACTAACTGTTTATGTTCCTGCTTTTGAACATTAACAACATTAATTCAAAATCAATAGTTCATGGATTTATCATGAATTTGAGAAATACTACCATTGTGGTAGAAGGAGAATTTTGGGGTTATTTGTAGAAACGGAAGAATTTGAACAACCCTTCAGAGTGGGATGGGGTAAAACTATATGACATATATAAAGTGTGAAAAAGATCAATATTTTTTTTCTTGATAGCACGATTTGAAAACATTTTAAGTAAAAATCTACTGATTAGCTCAGTTATTAGGAAAGTTTTCTCTATTTGGAAAATTTTCCCATGTTTTCAGTACATTGTCTTGACAGGAAATTTGTTTATATTCAGAGGGGAAAACATACCACTTGTAGAATACTACTCATTTCTGGTAGTAAAATTTGTCATGATTAATCCCTGTGGTTGTACATCTATATAATTGAGATATCTGGCCTTTCAAATTGTATTAGGAATTAAGCATAACTATTGGAGAATACTTTAAATTCATTGGTTATATTAATCTTGGAGCCATGATTCCTTTACATGGAGTGTGACTTACTTGTTTAAAAACTGAACTGTGATTTAGAAAGTGGTACAATTTTGTTAATAAGAGACCTGTTTGTTTGAATACAACTGTTGAACACTTTGGATGTACTTGTGTGTATAATGGATGCAGACACTTTGTAATGACACTGGACTCTTGATTATTGGTGGTAAATATTTGTACGATAAAGCTATGAAACTGCCATTGAAACTATTTAGCTTTACAATTACTTAACAAATGCTGTAAATTCAATAAACATGTACAGTACTTTGAATGGAAATTCACTTGAGTTTCAAAATCAATGATGCATGGCACAATTTTTTAGAGTTGCTTCCCTTGTATCATGACATAAAAATTTTCATTAAGACTCCAAAGGCTAAGTAGCTATATTTGAAAAGTCTTCATGTAGTCATGCATTTGTATGGTGGTAAAGACATACAAAGATACAGACTTGTGGTGATTTAGCTTAAAGCTTCTTTTGCAGTGGAACTGTTATTTGCAATGAGGTATGAAGGACGATTGGAAAGCACAAAATAGTCCCAATTTAAAAAGCCTTGTATACTGAACTTACACCTACCAGTATTTCCCATCTCCAGAGTCTTGTCCTGGATTCAATGTTCCGTGAAACAGATAAAACAATTTTGATGTATTAAAACAAATCAGAAGCTTGTAAGGAACTTGTTGACCTATATTTCTGAGGTAGCTGTAGCAACAAAATTGTATAGATTTGTGCAATATAAATGAAATAAACCTGTTACAGTTATATCTTGTTTAGTTTTTAATTTTTCGTCCATCCATTGACAAATTCTTCCTTTTAATGATCTCTCCTTGACAAAAAAACTTAGCCATCAAATAGGGCTGATAGCATCCTATGATGGATGTCAATCTGTTTTATTCAAATAAATGACCTTGATTGACTTGCAAGATCAAAAATGTCAAAAGAGTCCATTGTTCAGAAAACATATGAAGAATAACAAAACCAAAGTCATGAAATTTGGCCAGTAGTCTCCTGGAATGAGCACTAATGAATGACCTTGTTACACTTTCAAGGTTATAGGAATGTGTATCAGGTACCAGAATACATGTGCATCAAAAAGGGAAGAAAAGTGGGGGGGTAGAGGGGTGGTGGTGGTAGATAACCAAGAGATCCATGGTAATTTTACCGTTTTAATCATTATTTCTGCAAGAGGCTAGAGTTAATGAGCAAATCTATATTTGTATATAGGTAAAAGTGTTCCAATTGGAAAATTTCTTGTAAAATTTGAGCTCAAAACATAGTTACTGATCAAGGCTCAAGTTATATTTCGTTGTAGTCCACAATGGCCACTGGAAATTAAAGTGAAAGTATTTTATGTCCCAATACTAAATAACATTATTTATGGACCATTGAACTGGTGCAAATTTAATTTCCTGTCTTTAGATTGTTTTTATATAGAAACACTAATGAATAACCCCTATGATGTTTGTGCATCTGGGCATTGTTATTATGTTTTGGTAAATTTCCTAATGCAGTTATGCTACTTTGATGAAAATTGATGAAAAAAGTCCTCACAAACAATGTCGAGTGAAGATATGAATGCATCTTGAATGATGCAATGTACCAGAAGTTGATATTGGGACAGTTCAGTGTCCTTGACCTTGGAAACCTGAAACATGTTTCATCATAGATATATGTTTTTTGTATTTAGTTTATGAATGAAGCTGCCAGAGCAATGACATCCATTAGGCTCTGATGCAGTGATGTTTATTACTTAATGTGCCCCTCTTCATAAAATGATGAGGACATAACACAGTCTAATTAGATTTATGTACTACCTAAACACCAGTGCAGAGATAGGACACATTGTATGCTTCATTCTAGTAGGTGAGAATATTGCATCAATATTATCCCTTGAACATGGCAACTGTCTATTTCATGGTTGACCATTTAAAGGAAAACATAAGACTGATTAAGTTAAAAGAGAAATAAATCATTTTATTTTTCTTAAAGGCAATTGTTACTTTCATATTTTTGTAAAAATACAAATGATTTGAAAGACATAGTAGTAAATACATTAAAACTTGTGCGATTGTGAAAAGAACCTGATATTTCTCTCGAAAGGTAGGAGAAAATTGCATGTTTGAATGTAACCAAACAGATATTTCCTCTGTGAATAATAAAACTTAGCCCTATATGTTTTTACTGGAAATACAATGTACCATTAATTGCAATTTTTATCTTAAAATGAGCCCAAAGGGTCAATGCACTACTTCTGACTCAAAAGTTAATGAGACATGTTTCTTATATAATCATGTAATAGCTGTTAGTGCTAATTTTACGGAATAATAAATATATACAAATGGGTTTATTATCAAGCACTGACTTATCGCTACATAAATTTAGCAATACCGTCTAGACAGTTGAAGTCAGGTGACAATTCTTTTATGACTAATCTAATATGTTTACAAAAGTCAAATCTCTCCAGATATCAAACTTTCATCATCACTGTGATAGTACATTAAGGTCACTTTATCTCTGAATACCCTATCATAACACGATTACGTTAATCAAGTTTTCAACAAATTAAATCATTATCCTCTTTCAGACTCTGCTTATTAATCCTAAGAGATACTTATGTGTCCAGCCCAACTAGAATGATCTGTAGCATTGCACATTTCCTGAAATATTTAAATTGACAATAATATCACTTTGAAGGTATGTCAATCTGATAATTAGATTACCAATGCACCACATGTGATTTTTGAATCACATGTAATCATTGCTTATCAAATCTGACTATACAAGGATTCAGTTTAAAATAAAAACTTCATAACTTTACAATTTCTTCCAGAAAGTTACATTTTCAGGATAATATTGAAAAGTAAAGAATGATGGATATGAAAGTTAATTTTTTTAAATATCAGCAGTCTCGTTTGAATTAGTGGACACACCTGGATACTGATCATAGATGCAAATCACCAAACACACCTGTAAGATGGGAGTAACTGGACACACACATGGACACTAATCACAGATTGGCATACCTGGACACGGGTCAATATTAATCACAGGTGGGAATCACTAAACACACCTGTATACTAATCACAGGTGGGAATCACTAAACACACCTGTATACTAATCACAGGTGGGAATCACTAGACACACCTGTATACTAATCACAGGTGGTAATCACTAGACACACCTGTATACTAATCACAGGTGGGAATCACTAGACACACCTGTATACTAATCACAGGTGTACATTACTGAACATGTGAGGATACTAATCACAGGTGGGAATTACTGGACCCACCTGGATACTAATCACAGGTGGGAATTACTGGACCCACCTGGATACTAATCACAGGTGGGAATTACTGGGCCCACCTGGATACTAATCACAGGTGGGAATTACTGGACCCACCTGGATACTTATCACAGAAAGAAGAATTACTATTTTATTACTACATGTATTTTGGAATTACTCCTTTTACTATAACTCATAATGATGATTAAATATATAATTCAATTATATACCTGGTACTCATAACTATCTACATGATATTGTATTTATTATTCAAACTGACAAAATCAATAAGGGCCATTCCTGTAAAACATCTACTTGACCACAGCACTCAAAAATAAATCACTTCTATCTAGGATTCCATTTCCTGACTACTATTTAAGCAAATTATCAATTAAATTTTTGCCATACCCTGTACATACTCTGGAGTCCTTGGATAGCAGTTGTTTTACTAGAATTGTGTGGTACCCTACACAAAGTCTTCAGTACTGGAGGTGGTAGTATAGATGTTTTACTAGAATTGTGTGGTACCCTACACAAAGTCTTCAGTACTGGAGGTGGTAGTATAGATGTTTTACTAGAATTGTGTGGTACCCTACACAAAGTCTTCAGTACTGGAGGTGGTAGTATAGATGTTTTACTAGAATTGTGTGGTACCCTACACAAAGTCTTCAGTACTGGAGGTGGTAGTATAGATGTTTTACAAGAATTGTGTGGTACCCTACACAAAGTCTTCAGTACTGGAGGTGGTGATATAGATGTTTTACAAGAATTGTGTGGTACCCTACACAAAGTCTTCAGTACTGGAGGTGGTAGTATAGATGTTTTACTGGAATTGTGTGGTACCCTACACAAAGTCTTCAGTACTGGAGGTGGTAGTATAGATGTTTTACTAGAATTGTGTGGTACCCTACACAAAGCTTTCAGTACTGGAGGTGGTGATATAGATGTTTTACAAGAATTGTGTGGTACCCTACACAAAGCTTTCAGTACTGGAGGTGGTGATATAGATGTTTTACAAGAATTGTGTGGTACCCTACACAAAGTCTTCAGTACTGGAGGTGGTAGTATAGATGTTTTACTAGAATTGTGTGGTACCCTACACAAAGTCTTCAGTACTGGAGGTGGTGATATAGATGTTTTACAAGAATTGTGTGGTACCCTACACAAAGTCTTCAGTACTGGAGGTGGTGATATAGATGTTTTACAAGAATTGTGTGGTACCCTACACAAAGTCTTCAGTACTGGAGGTGGTGATATAGATGTTTTACAAGAATTGTGTGGTACCCTACACAAAGTCTTCAGTACTGGAGGTGGTGATATAGATGTTTTACAAGAATTGTGTGGTACCCTACACAAAGTCTTCAGTACTGGAGGTGGTAGTATAGATGTTTTACTAGAATTGTGTGGTACCCTACACAAAGCCTGGAATACTGGGGTGGAGGCAGTTATGTTTTACTGGAATTGTGTGGTACCCTACACAAAGCCTGGAATACTGGGGTGGAGGCAGTTATGTTTTACTGTAATTTTGTGTTACCCTACACAAAGCCTGGAATACTGGAGTGGTGGCAGTTATGTTTTACTGGAATTTTGTGGTACTCTACTGAAAGCCTGGAGAACTGGGGGTAGGTGGGTGGTGGCAATGATATTTTACTGGAATTTTGTGGTACCCTACAGAAAGCCTGGACTACTGAGGTGGTGGCAATGATATTTTACTGGAATTGTATAAAACCCTTAAGTTATGCTGTGAGTACTGGAGGTGGTGGTATAGATGTTTTACTGGAATTGTATAAAACCCTTAAGTTATGCTGTGAGTACTGGAGGTGGTGGTATAGATGTTTTACTGGAATTGTGTGGCACCCATAAGCAAAACCTTGAGTAGTTTTTCAATGGAAGCGCCCTAGAACCACCTATCTAAAGGTAACATAGAAAAAAACTGCATATTAATATTAATGTCAGCTGACATACGTCCTTAACTATATACACATTATGTGTATAACATATCCCTACATATTATACCTATTAAGGCCCCATTGATAACTTTTAAACTACAATCCTCTACAGGTCCTCAACACACATGAATTAATAGACCATTACCTGAGAAAATATTGCAGATATGGTTTCAGCAAGACTACACAGGACTGCTTCATCATAACAGGAGGAGTTTCAGGACTAGGAAGTACATCCATTACACACTGGATACATTTTATCTAAATTGTTTACTAGATCTGTTAAAACAATAACAAATAACAGGTAGTCATCAACAGCATTCTTAATAAGAAACGTACGAAAAATCTATAGGAAAAAACAAAAATTAAGAAAAGAAGGACCCAAAGCAAAGTTTACAATCAAACCCTTAACACAGTCAAGTGATCAGCATCTATTTTAAAAGTATGTTGTTTTCCAATTTGAAAACAATGATAAAAAAAGCTTCTGGACCATCTAGATAAAAACCCTCACTGACATTGTGTATTTAATTTTACCTTTCATTCAGAAACAATTGTAAAAAGAGTTTTTACAGAATGTTTTCATTATATGTGATTTTTGACATAACATTGATAAATGTACACTTAAAACATTCCTATATCATGTAGAACTGGGATAAACTTGTAATCCTCAGATAACACATTATTCCTTCTCACTTTTGAAATAGATGTACAGTTTATCTGCGACATTTTGTTGCAGTTTTGAGTGAGAAGTATCCTCTGTACAGATGTTCACGGACAAAACTTTAAATCAACCTACACATAAAATTGAATGTTAGAATTCTGTGCAAAAACACATTTTTTCTGCATTTATCTTAGCAACCAGGTTTTCTAGATCTTTCCCATTACAGTATAGACATTCTAAAAACATTACCATATTTGATCTGAGAAGTGTACTTTCTTACAAAACCATAAAAGGTCTTCTCGATAACTCTGCTTCACATGGAAATGGAAATTTCCACACTAATTTTCAGACATGTTACTTGGTAACTGGGTATTTCAGAGGCAGTGAGCGATAAGTGTAACCAAGCTCTTTACTGGATTTAAACAAAAACACCTATCCTCTTTCTCAGTAAAGAGGTTGGAGAGTGCTGAAAGGGACAGGAACTCTTATCTGGTGAAATAAGGTAATATAAATCTTCTCTCAATAAGTAAAAATTTCTTCATACATATTTACCATGTGTTACTTTGTTGCTAAGTTTGAATACCACATTAAGTTACAATGCATGGTAGGCTCTGATATATAGACATACATATCTTATATATCTTAAATCAAATAAGCTATCCTATGACAGGATTATGTGCAAGGTCAAATCTATGAAAATGTTAAACTTAATACAAGGTATGATTGGAACCTGGCACCATAGAAACCTGGTACAACCCATGTTACAATGTCAGACATTTATAAGTAAAGTATGCTGATCTCGATCACTAATCACATTGCTTTGCTTGTGCCTTCAATTTTGCCTTGAAATGTTTCCTGAAGCAAAGTGATTTTAACTCTTACAGTATTGATGATGTGGTAACAACTGCTTTGTTGTTTTCCAGCCAAGTCTCTGATTTATAAAGGAAACTTCATAAGAAAAAAATTAGGAATATTTTACAGTATTGCTACCAGTCACATTTTGTGGGACATCAACACTATCCTAGCAATGATAAAATGTGCAACAGTACCTGGGAAAACAGAAAAAAAAAGAAAAAAAAAACCAAACCAAACACGAAACAGAGGGTTTGGATATAAATATGATCCCAATCAAATTGCTATATCTTTATCTGATACAAGATGTGAAAACAAGTATCAGCTGTTCAAAGCAGGCTCCTGACATAGATTACACAGAACTGCAACAAACACATTCAACCAGACCAACACGATGGTTAATGTTTGAAATTTAATACCAACGTTTTCCAATAAAATTATCATACATTCTAACACAAATGTAAGAATTCTTTATCAACCTTAGGACTTCTTGTACTCAATACTTACACTGATAAAATGGCTTATAACAGCTTTATATAAAACTATCTTATTGATTAAGATAAAGCTCTTGATGCATACTGAAGATAACAGCTAGTTTTCATACCTGTGTGTAATCTGGCACCATCATATGGTATAACAATACACAACTGATTCTATTATAATTTATAAATAATCATACACATTATTTCACAACCAAACAACTTCTATCAATACACCATGTGGACAATTACTTCACTGGTTCCAAAGCTGTATATTGGCACACTTAACTTTTTTAACGACGCAGGTGGAGTGGGGTTTCTTGTGTTCAAATCAATTATAATAATAGTAATTTCTGAAGGAATGATATCACCTTAGTCTAAACTCTTTGCTTCCTCTTTTGGCTGCAGTGAGACAAAAACCATTGCTAGGAATTGCAATTCCAGAAAGACAGCTGGACGGATCATTATTTCTGTACAGCAGTCTCGATCTTAACAAGAACTGCAGCACTCATTCAGGAGAAAATCACCACTAGTTTGCTTACTGTAAGTCATTCCATTACAAAAATTAGTTGTATTAAATTGCTACATATAATATATAAATTGACTTGATAGTCACTTTTGTAGAAACTTTTGACTCCTGCACAAATCTGAACATTTACAATCATTCTCAAGCACTTCCAAACATGATTCAAATTGGAATATCATAATCTTTATATTTTGAAAATTCTAGTGAAAACACCATTCACCCACTATCAGCTCAGAGAACTAGTAGTTTGAGGGGAACAAAACAGTCATGGATTGCTTGGAATTAGTCACTTAATTCGGCTTTCAAAGCTGATAAAATGTTAAACAATCAATTCAGTTTGAGAGTAAATCCTACATACTAAATTCTGAACAAAAACTTCAGTACTTAGAGAAAACAAAATAAATACTACCATTTTTCTTGAAAAAGCATTAACATGCACACAATTGTACATGGAATATGCCTGAAATACTGGTATATCCCAATTTGTATTTCTCCAGAAAATGCTAAAGAAGCATTGAATATTGCATTTTAATATTCAACATTGCTTTCTCTCTTTCTCACTACAAACATCCTTTTTCCCATTCAGTAGATACAATCATTTCAAGACATATTATCATATTCAATTTTAACAGCAAGGAATTCCCTTCTTTCTATTTTTAATGAGGTAGTTTGTGATTCCTAGAGCACCTCCAATACCAAACCTAACAAAGTTATCCCCTACCAATGGTCCCATGGAGAACAGGCCTTTATGCTTGACCGACTCATAGGAGAACATGTTGACATCCAGGACATTGTTCTTGCTGTTAATGGGATATTGAGGATCCACCCCTAGGCTTCTTCCTTCCTCAGGAAGAAATGATAAATTGGGACGAGAACCAATCAAGATGACTGCAAATGTGACATCAACAGTAGTGATATCGTTTCCTTTGGTATTTTCCAACAAAACCCGTTTATCGTCGTCGATCTGCACCAAGCGATGCTTCTCATATGGTCTGTACAGAGGGTCAACAACTTTTCCCTTCATCAGTGAGTGGATTCTGTGGTACTCAGGGTACAGACCCTGTGGCAGTTTCTTAAAAATTAAGTTTGAGTCATTTGCTCCTCTTCTAAAAACATGAATCACAGGCAGGTTTGCATCCAAAGCCATGAGAATGGCATCTGCAGCACTTAATCCTGCGCCAACAATTAAAACTGGGTCATCAGATGAGCTGGGGATCTCCGTACGACATTTCAGCGCAGATTCAAAATCGTGAAGAGAATGAATAACGTGTGGTAATAGTTCTCCAGGTATGTTAAGTCTGTTTGGAATGTCAAATGTCCCAGTGGCCACCACAACATGTGGTGCTTGGATACAAAACTCCTTACGGTGCACATCCTCCTCATCCTCGATGGACTGGTCAACAGAACTGATGTAACCTCGGACTTCCCACAGGTAGGAGTGATTCTTGGCAATGTTTTTACAGCATGGTTCTACCTCACCACTTTCCAGGTCCATACAATTGCTTAAGTGGTACACTTTCTGAATTGAGGTGACAGTGTGATGATCATAAAAGTGTTTCTGAAGGTCAAGGTTAGCCACATAGTCCACATAGTAATTCCTCACATCTGATATGGTGGCTCTGTTACTACAAGGATCAAGAGATTCCCCTTCCCTGAATAAAAAAGTAAACAGTTATGTTTTAAGATTTGAAAGCATTACAATGTAGAAATTAGATGATCTGAATACAACAGTGTTAAGATATTTAGGAAGGAAAGTAACAAATTCCAATATTTTCTGTACAAGGGCAATTACAAACACAAAAAAAATCTATTAAGAATTGATGAGTTTAAACATATATACTAACACGAAAAAGAAACGCCGGGTACACTAAATATAATACAAATGATTTATTGCTTGGCCTAGAATAATGACACTCGGTCACACAATACCTGACCTCCGCGCTCCGTGCGAGGCACGTACTAAAATACAAGAATCCTGTGCAGGGGAAGGTCATTGAGTTCACCAATGGAAATTTTCAGTCTATTTGATACTGTTCAAGTATTCGGATTGATTTTTCAAAGTTTGATTCGAATTAAGCAATTTACATCCATGCCACGGGGACCGGCTATAGGAATGTTTTTGCAGGGTCAGGGCCAACTTCAGGTTGCTGCACATTTTGGTGTGCATATTCGGACAATTCAACGTCTTGTCCAACGTGTGCGAGTGACGGGGAGGGTCATCGACCGACCGCGAAGTGGACGTCCGCGCGTCACGACGCCACATCAGGATCGGTTTATTAGACTTTCTCACTTACGTAATCGCCATCTCACAGCTACCGAAACTGCAAATAACACCATAGGCAGTCATAACCGCCATATTCATCCTGATACGGTTCGAAACCGATTACGCGTCAATGGCCTAAGAGCCCGACGTCCCTATGTGGGTCTGCCCCTAACTCCTGCTCGTCGCCAACGCCGATTGGCGTGGTTACAAGCACACTCGCCCAGAAATTTTCCTATGAGGCAATGGAGACGGGTATTCTTCACTGACGAATCCTGGTTCACTCTCTACCATTCGGACGGGCGACGTCGTGTGTATTGACGTCGAGGGGAACGTTACACCAACGCATGCGTCGCTGAGCGGGATAGGTTTAGCGGTGGTTCAGTATGTGTTTGGGGCGGTATCTCCTATGGGTTTAAATCACCCCTGATCATGATTGACAGTAATTTAACCGGTTGTAAGGTATAGAGATGAAATCCTTCGCCCAGTTGCCGTGCCATGTGTGCAAGCATGGAACCTGATATTCCAGCAAGACAATGCCCGGCCCCATGTCGCTAGAGTTTGTCAGCAATTTCTTGCCAACAATAACGTAATTCCAATCGAATGGCCAGCATTCAGTCCAGATTTGTCTCCAATTGAGCATTTGTGGGACGAATTGGATAGGAGAGTTAGGAGACGTCCAAATGCCCCCACTAATCTGGTCCAGCTCACAAGTGTCTTGCATGAAGAACGGAATAACATCCCCATTGCAAGTGTTAACACCCTGATGAATTCCATGCATAGAAGAATCAGGGCTGCGACAGCTGCGCATGGAGGACACACAAGATACTGAAATGTCCGGCCGTGTTGCGCAATACAAGTAGGGTCATCGCTATAAGGGGGATATTTTTGGCATAATTAGCATTGATAATCTATAGAACCTTCAACAAATGGTTCAAAACAGATGAAATTGTATACAAAAATGAATGAAATAATGTAACATTAAATTATATCATTTGAAAGAATCTTTTTAGGTTACACGGCGTTTCTTTTTCATTTTAGTATATAAACTACACAAGGTGATCTCTCCATCATATTTCCCTTCCTAGCAATATCTTTGATAAAAAGATTCAGCACGAAATAGTTCTAAACTGCTAAGAATAATAAAACCCAATTGAAAAAAAACCAGATTGATATGAATTTGATTTTTTAAACGTTTAAAAACCTAAGTGTTTGAGCTCCACCCATGTGATAATGTACATTTAGGAAAAGGTGAACTATTGACCCTAGTGATGATTCCTCCAAAGTGGTAATCATAAAAACATTTAATATTTACAAGATATTTTCTTTACGACCATGCACAAGGGAGCTGAAAACAAATCAGACTGCATGACAAAGCAAAATGTCTTAAGTGAATTAGAATAGGCAGGCACATAAACAGGAAAGTAATAGGAAACATTGTAAACTCTGTTAATGCTGACCTGAATTTACGATCACGCCACTCCTTCAGTGGAACGGATGGCAACTCCATCCAATTTCCCAGGCTCAGTGTCTGCATACTCCCATCCATTTTCTGTAAAACATAGGGCACCAAATGTAAGGTTTATAAACCTTGCAATTGTAGAAATAAAAAAAAAAAGTAAACCCAAATCCTTTGCAGAAACTTGTAAATACACATATCTGTAATATGTGTTCCCTTCTTGCCCATTCAGTGAACTCACATACAGTTATTCCCCTTACCCATGTTTAATGTAGCACCACCAATTCAGACGAAGAATTTCTAACAAATGAAATACATAACTAATGATATAGAATGACCCACCTGAGGCACATAACCTGATATAGACTCATTCATACTTCCTCTCTCCCTTACATGTCTTGTTCCAGTGATAAAACATTATACTGATACAGGCCAACTGGCTCTGTCCTGGTCCAGAAAGAAATCTACCACCATGTATACCACTAGGCAGAACAATCAATACATATCCAATTCCTTACTTATACATAACATACAAAAAGCTGCTACAAAAATATCATGATACAGGTATCTAAGCTGTTATAACTAGGTCTGTCAAAGCTGAGAGACGATATCAAGACAAAGGGAAATAACTCTTTTTGAAGATAGTTAAATCTAACAGATCCTTATATCCTAGAAATGAAATGTAATAATTCTAATAGAGATCAGCCTTAAGCTTTCACGGTCTTCTTGGTTCTAAGGTATACAAAATATACAATCATATAGTCAAAGGAGAAAAAGTGTTCACTGTCCAATAAATCACACTTATTTCTGGTAGGTCTATTTAAGGGAAATATTTATTCAAATGTTACCTGCCAAGCCCCTCCCACTTTGCCACGCCCTAAAGCAATGTGCCTGAAGGCATGTTCCTCTTCCTTGTTCCAATCCAAAAGGGAGGGTATCTCTGACCCCATATCAGCATCAGGGTGGACAAGGGCATCAAACAACAGAGCCACCGGGTTTGAAGTACGTCCTTCCAGACCCTCAGACAGATAGTCAAGGTCCTAAAACACAAACCATTTTTAAACTATTAATAATTTGTCATGGAAAAAATGACTTTCTTTTTCTGTGTAATTGTACCTTTCCTCAGTATGAAAGGTCTTGCCAATAATGGTCTGTCTCATGATCTTTAAACTGTTCGTTATGATCAGTTAAAGCTGGAAAATAACAAAGATAATAAACATTTCATACCTGGTCCACTATTGACTGGGAGGTTCCAATCTCCTGTAACTTGGAGTGGAGGTATGTGTTAGAGTGGGGGTTCCCATTGTAATACGGCCGGTGTCCAGACAGGAAGTAGGACAGACAGATCGCAGATGGACCATTTCCTTAAGAGAAATACAAAATCACTTATGATATACTTAAATATAATAAAATTAAGAAAAAACAACTTTTTTTCACCTATACCTCCCTTGTGGCCGGTGTATTTATTCTTTAAAATGTAGCCTTTGTTAATAATTAAATTTGTATTGTCATATTTGTTGAAGGTTTATTCGATTAGAAAACAATGACTGTCAGGGTAATAAGGTATATCATTAATCACAAGAGGCATCTGTAGAGTGCTAATGCTGTCATGCAGGTGTAACTGTATTTAATAGCATGCTATCATTCATCAAAAGTGTAAAGGAAGTTTCTAGTTATTACTTATGATATAAATATGAATATATTACATATATAAATGGTTTCTAATGACAAAATTTTTTTTCCTATAATAGGTTTAGAAATTATGCAGATAAATTATCTGATAAAGATGCTGACATCACAATTTTTATTTTCTAGTACTGCAAGAATTAAGAAGTTAAAAACTCCAAACATCATGGAATAGTAAAGATATTAAGCCAGAGTTCATCTGATCATCTGCTTATAAACAACAGTGACTACGTAACAGGATATAATTTTATGCCCGAGACAACTCGATGATTCATCACATCCGTATATTACACAGACCAATACAGATCAATGAGGTTGTGTAAACCCTATGTATGGCTTCACAGCTGCTCCACGTTATCCTGTCAATAACTTTGTTACATTCCTATAACAGTACATAATCTAGTAATTCAAATATTTTAATCAACAGTCTGGTAAGGATTTGCCTATCAAGATTCTTTACAGGGAAAAAAAAATGAGGTGATAATGCTCTCTGACAGGTTTTCTACTGATCTCAATAGAAGATATCTGTAAATTTATTGCCTCAGCAATCGTCATCACTGTTTTTTTTTTACTTTTTCACAACAAAAATGTTTAACACTTTGACATCAATTTGATATATTGCTCAATTTGGTGGCTGAATATTCACATGGTATTTACACAAAATTGTTATCAATAATCACTAACATTTATCCAAAACAGCAGAACACTCTTAATAGGTTTCCATGGAAATGGCTGGATAAGGACAATTACATGTAAGGCTGATAAACACCTAGTTCACATTCACACCATTGACTGTAGGATATGTTGGAGGTTCACTTTTATGTAGTCAAGTGATGGGTGATAAATACAATAAGATAGAACCTACACTTTACTTGTATAAAATGAATTGTCACATTTTGATATTTGTGAGATTGAAAACGAATGAATGCTCTGATAGCTGAATATCCAAATGTACATGTGTAAGCTGGTTATAACATGTTCTCTCGAAGAAATAACATGGATGTATCGATAGGAAGTAATCACATCAATATCTCTTATTCAAGGTCAAACATAATGACCTACCAATCAAACTACAGTCTCATTAATTATAATAGGTACTTAATGAAATCTAAAGTAAAGTCTGAGACAACACCGAGCAGGGTGAGTTCCAAAAGATATATAATTTAAAGACTGAAAGCAGAACTCATTATAAAACATGTTAGAACTACAGGAAACCTGGGCAGTAATGAATTTCCTTAGATCTATGGTATTGAGCTCTGACTCATCAAAGCGAAGAAGAGAAATGTACATTAGCCTTATTACACTGATACTCCAGAAGTCTAGAGAGTAGTAATGCACAGCTGATGTTACTCCACCTAATACAACATTCATGATCAGCTGATGAAAAGCCTGAAAAAATACTGATAAAATCCTAATATTAAGAGGGTTTCAATATTATAACTACCTCCAGTTACAATTTCTGAGAATTTTGTCGTATACATTCTAACTTAAATATGCACAGTAATGTAATGAAGTAAATTTATTTATACAGAAACAGGTAAATATATGTACTTATAAAGTGACGGGCAGATAATTGAAACTAATTGACAAATTAAGGACACAATACCAATTAGCCAAATTCAAAATCACAAAGATGATTAGTTGTTAGAGTTGAGGAATGACAGGGCTCTTACATCCCATTTTGTAGGGCCCAGGGCCCTTAGAATTGGGAAAACAGCGGCGTTTTCTTTAGAATTGGGAAAACTTCGGGTCTAAATTGGGAAAAAAAGATACTATTTTGCATTGGGAATGGGGCCGAATATCGGCCCCAAATCTGGCAGATCGAGAGCCCTGAATGACATTGAGATCTCAGAAATTCAGGGACCATGTGGGAAAAGATGGTCATTTAGAAGTAACTACTCTTCCTGGCAGCTGTGAATGGGTTATATCAGTGGTTTTCAATAAACACAAAATCTAGGTGTACCAGTATGGTAACAGGTTTCAAGCTTCTATCAAACTCAGTTCAAGAAGCAGTTAAATCCACAAACATCAATTGTAGGCATTCAATTATCAACCGATTCCTATAACTATGAACAGCGAAGTCTTGGATGTAAACTGTGAAACTTACAATTTTCCTTTAATTACTAATCTAATCCAACAACATTTTCACCACTTCTCTCTATATTACTATAGTAGTATATTAATTTTCAAAAAAAAAGTTATTTTGATCGGAGATAATGAGTTGATTACAACACCCTATTAAACTGATAGTCTTACTGCTATAATGGTGATTTGCCTTGGATCTAACCAAATTAAAATTTTATATTGACTGAACATTAGAATGATCTACATTTTCACATGTAAAAGTACCAGTCTAACCTTTATTGATTCCAGGAACACTTTACAGGAACTGTGTGAATATTTCAGGAACACCTGAACATTACTCCTGGTGTGGTATTGTCTATTGGGTATGGATATAGTATTAATTAAAAAGAAACAGTCCAATAATCTCTGAAGAACTAAAGGCTATAATAATGGGTGTATATTTCAGGTCTCTTGTAAATATGTTGGCAAATAACCGTTTTAAATGTCCAATACACAATTCAAAACTATTGACCGATCAGGACTGATCTAGATTTTCACCTGCAGAACGTCACGCTCAGACTACTTAACCAAGCCTCTAGATCAAAGCAGGCCAGATAATTATTGACCTAAATATACACATTTCTGAGTTCCTGATTGATTGGCTAATATAAATTTTCACCTGTGAAATATAATTCTTTTAACTGTACATCACAGGTCTTAAAAACAAGTTTATTTACTAAGTAGGGGCACATCACTTGACCTGACATATAATCATCGCTAATTCATCGCAAGGGTGAGTTACACAAGCTGTATGCTAATTTATATTTCAAAGTTTGACAACTTTGGAAACTGGCAGGTAAATATTTGTATTCCTACAATCTCCTACCATTCAGTGTCCTTAAGTACAAGCCATAAAGTTTCAGAATTGGATGACTTGTCTGCTTCCTAGAAGAACATAAATTAATGACAATAACATTAAAGCAGTCACTTAGGATTGGCGTTTCAACACCAGAAGATTTCCACAGATTTTCATCCTGTTTTCAATAATTTATCATGAAACAGGACATAAGACGACACCGGTATGTGTGTGAACTGTGCCCATGACATCGACCTGGCACACTGTACTTAGTCACTCTAGTGACCAAACATACATTACAACAGGGTTATAATCATAACAATGAATCACACTTATTAAACAGGTAGGTCTTGATAAAGTCACATCCGACAGGTCTGGTCCACATATATAATCTATACTACTAATTTACATGAACCACCATCCTTCTTTTCCTTGTAAGTACCAGCCTAAACCTGAGATAGGAATGTCTTCTTTCCCCTTCACAATACTCATGGGTTGGTCGTCTGTAACGATTTTCAGATTTTCCATAAGAAATAAATTTGACTATCAGGTACAGATCAGATCACTCTAACATTCATTAGGAATATTTCACTGAACAATCTTTAAATCTGTTTAAAAAAAAAAAAAAAATGAAACTAAACATCAGAGCTGAAATCTTACATGTCCAATAATATCCTTTCCAGTTGACCAAACATTTCTGTCTCTCAAATAATAATTTCATTTTTATTTCTATGTTTACTTGATATTTAATATCTGTTCTTTACTGATCATGCTCATGTTAATCAATAAAATATAAATTAACACTAAGCATCACACAAATTTGAAAATAAGCATGAAATTATCATTTTTTGAGACAGAAATTTTTGGTCTGTCTTTCCAATAAGTTTTTTGGTCTGCCTTTCCAGTAAATTTAATTTAGAAAATTTCTCAACAATGCAAGTCAACAAAGAAGATGAACATCATGGAAGCTCAGCTGTTGTGCAATACAATCATTGAAGCTGGTATAACAATAATCAGCTACTGTAGCCTGGAGATTTTCACTTTCTATTACATGTGTATCCTCTTCAACCAGCCTACAAACACACATATAGTGCTAGATAGATTGAGGGTTTTACTCTTGTGTGTCTACCCCAGCTGTGAGTGTGAGGGCTGGTTTCCCAGCTGCCTTATAGTGCGAGAGCTAGATTGAGAATTATACATTTAGTGTGTCTACCCCAGTCACCTCACAGTGTGAGAGTGTAAGATTGAGTATTATACATCTAGTGTGTCTACCCCAGTCACCTCACAGTGTGAGAGTGTAAGATTGAGGATTATACATCTAGTGTGTCTACCCCAGTCACCTCACAGTGTGAGAGTGTAAGATTGAGTATTACATATCTAGTGTGTCTACCCCAGTCACCTCACAGTGTGAGAGTGTAAGATTGAGGATTATACATCTAGTGTGTCTACCCCAGTCACCTCACAGTGTGAGAGTGTAAGATTGAGGATTATACATCTAGTGTGTCTACCCCAGTCACCTCACAGTGTCAGAGTGTAAGATTGAGAATTATAAATTTAGTGTGTCTACCCCAGTCACCTCACAGTGTGAGAGTGTAAGATTGAGTATTACATATCTAGTGTGTCTACCCCAGTCACCTCACAGTGTGAGAGTGTAAGATTGAGGATTATACATCTAGTGTGTCTACCCCAGTCACCTCACAGTGTCAGAGTGTAAGATTGAGTATTATACATCTAGTGTGTCTACCCCAGTCACCTCACAGTGTCAGAGTGTAAGATTGAGGATTATACATCTAGTGTGTCTACCCCAGTCACCTCACAGTGTGAGAGTGTAAGATTGAGGATTATACATCTAGTGTGTCTACCCCAGTCACCTCACAGTGTGAGAGTGTAAGATTGAGGATTATACATCTAGTGTGTCTACCCCAGTCACCTCACAGTGTCAGAGTGTAAGATTGAGAATTATAAATTTAGTGTGTCTACCCCAGTCACCTCACAGTGTGAGAGTGTAAGATTGAGTATTACATATCTAGTGTGTCTACCCCAGTCACCTCACAGTGTCAGAGTGTAAGATTGAGGATTATACATCTAGTGTGTCTACCCCAGTCACCTCACAGTGTCAGAGTGTAAGATTGAGAATTATACATCTAGTGTGTCTACCCCAGTCACCTCACAGTGTGAGAGTGTAAGATTGAGGATTATACATCTAGTGTGTCTACCCCAGTCACCTCACAGTGTGAGAGTGTAAGATTGAGTATTACATATCTAGTGTGTCTACCCCAGTCACCTCACAGTGTCAGAGTGTAAGATTGAGGATTATACATCTAGTGTGTCTACCCCAGTCACCTCACAGTGTCAGAGTGTAAGATTGAGGATTATACATCTAGTGTGTCTACCCCAGTCACCTCACAGTGTCAGAGTGTAAGATTGAGGATTATACATCTAGTGTGTCTACCCCAGTCACCTCACAGTGTCAGAGTGTAAGATTGAGGATTATACATCTAGTGTGTCTACCCCAGTCACCTCACAGTGTGAGAGTGTAAGATTGAGTATTACATATCTAGTGTGTCTACCCCAGTCACCTCACAGTGTGAGAGTGTAAGATTGAGGATTATACATCTAGTGTGTCTACCCCAGTCACCTCACAGTGTGAGAGTGTAAGATTGAGTATTACATATCTAGTGTGTCTACCCCAGTCACCTCACAGTGTGAGAGTGTAAGATTGAGGATTATACATCTAGTGTGTCTACCCCAGTCACCTCACAGTGTGAGAGTGTAAGATTGAGTATTACATATCTAGTGTGTCTACCCCAGTCACCTCACAGTGTGAGAGTGTAAGATTGAGGATTATACATCTAGTGTGTCTACACCAGTCACCTCACAGTGTCAGAGTGTAAGATTGAGTATTACATATCTAGTGTGTCTACCCCAGTCACCTCACAGTGTGAGAGTGTAAGATTGAGGATTATACATCTAGTGTGTCTACCCCAGTCACCTCACAGTGTGAGAGTGTAAGATTGAGGATTATACATCTAGTGTGTCTACCCCAGTCACCTCACAGTGTGAGAGTGTAAGATTGAGGATTATACATCTAGTGTGTCTACCCCAGTCACCTCACAGTGTCAGAGTGTAAGATTGAGGATTACATATCTAGTGTGTCTACCCCAGTCACCTCACAGTGTGAGAGTGTAAGATTGAGTATTACATATCTAGTGTGTCTACCCCAGTCACCTCACAGTGTGAGAGTGTAAGATTGAGGATTATACATCTAGTGTGTCTACCCCAGTCACCTCACAGTGTCAGAGTGTAAGATTGAGTATTATACATCTAGTGTGTCTACCCCAGTCACCTCACAGTGTCAGAGTGTAAGATTGAGGATTACATATCTAGTGTGTCTACCCCAGTCACCTCACAGTGTGAGAGTGTAAGATTGAGGATTACATATCTAGTGTGTCTACCCCAGTCACCTCACAGTGTGAGAGTGTAAGATTGAGTATTACATATCTAGTGTGTCTACCCCAGTCACCTCACAGTGTGAGAGTGTAAGATTGAGGATTACATATCTAGTGAGTTCAATTTGAGTTCCGTACATTTTTTTCATCTACAAGTGAGTAAACCTAACCCCTTTAAAAAATCATCATTTCGTGTCTACTGTAATTCTATTCAGTGTTTTCTCAAAGTGACTGACATAAAACCTGCTTGTTGTCACAGAAGATACACACATCAATAAAGACCCAGACAATTCAATTGTGGTGAAACAGGTATACCATAGCTATATAATATTCCAGATTTTGTCTCCTGGCTACCGTTTTCCACTATTAACATCAGCAAAAGTAAACAAGGATATACCTGTTAACTTATCTAAGATAACAGGCAGGTCAATAGCAATGCTTCCTTATATATACATGTACATGCAAATAGAGCACCATTTCTATATTCCTCTTTAAAAAGAAAATTCTTTTTATTCTTGGCAGAATGAATTGTTTGTAATGAACAATTTTGAATTTCTGATGTCATGGACAATCATTACACTTGAGGAAGAGACTCTCATCACCAAATCTAGACAACAGATATAGAAAGAATGTTGACAAAGTCAGTCTACCAGAAAATCAATGTAACTTTTTTTTGCCAGTATACATACAGTTTGTATCATCATTCACAATTTTTTAAAGAATCCCCTCAAATACTATGCAAAATGCATATCAGTAATAATCTTGAAATTTTTCAAAAAGTTTCGGATTGGAAACTTTCTCATAAATTTGAATTAAATCAAAGGTAAGAAATATTGCTTGTATGGATTTGTTTTTACTTCATTGAATATATTGGCATTCTGAATCACCACAAATAAATAGTGACGTTCTTCAAACTTTCTTCTTTGTATTGTTTGTTTGGACAATGTAATCATCATTGAAGAATTTAGTTACAATAAATTTTTGACATATAATTATGTAATTAATGGGGTAATATCAGAAAGATATTTTTTATCCTGTGCTACTTACCAATGATGATGACATCTGTGTACTCTGTTCCATTGCAATTGGCTGACTGTGATGACATACTGATAAGGCACTTGATGTTTAAACGGCCCAAAACCTCAGACTCCCTCCTACCTCCTAGTGGACAATTGGCCGGACAGATTGGTCAGTCTCTAACCATCAACTTTAAACCCTATGTTGGCTATATGTATAGCCAAATTAGATGTTTAGGAGTAGCTCAGCACCATGGTTTCCTCCTGTCAATATACAACCAACACTTCAATGTTTCCATGGTTATAAAAATAGGCAGAATTTATTTTTAAATGTGGAACACTCAACTACAACATAACTTGCTAACAAAGTCCTTTGGTGGGCTGAAAGATGAAAAGATGCTTGCTTCACAACCTTTTTATCACACAAGCTTTTGGTATTCATGTATAATATTTTTCTTAAGCTTTTATACATATAATTTGACAAGTTTCTCAGTTACTGGTATGCATATATCGACTGCAGATATGGAATTGTGATCCAGTGACTTACTACAAGTGTAACATGTGTGCTATCTACAGCTGTTCAGGTATCTTTCTGCTTACTCAGATAGGTTTGGGCCATTGTCATATGTATACACTGCAGTGAAAATGACCTTCTTCATATTCCTTCACACTATCTACCAAACAACTCAGTTATTTCAAATGGCCATCTCAGGTAAATTACAGAATGAAAAAGCTTAAACCTCAAAGTAAGTAATTAGAGTCCCGCTATCTTATCTAGCACCTGTTCGTTAAAGATGTAGAACTTAGATATTGTCTGACTGTTCACTAAAGATGTAGAACTTAGATATTTTTGACTGAATGTTTCAACACCTCAAAAACAGGTTTATGAACACTAATGAGTTAAAAAACAAAAAAATATTGTTTTAAAAATTTATCAAATTTAAAGCTCTAAGTGCATTACTTATGCAGGATATATCTTTGTAAACTTTTAAAAGATTTTTTTTTCCATTTTAAACAATGTCAAAATAAATAACTCACCACACAGTGGCAGCAACAACCTGACCCTGTGACTCTTAAGGTTTAAAAGAAAGAGAGAGGATGCATGATACCTACATAAATAAGTATGGTCGCTAAACTTTATAAATAGATTTAGACATTAACTGACCAGGAATTTATCACATGATTGCAAAATGAACTTGACCATGACCTAGATCAATGAATATGGACATGAAGTGGTGTACATTATATAATTGTATAATTTATTTTATAAACCATTTCATTAGGTCACTTGTAAGACACATAATAACTTAAATGAGGTTTTTTTTTTTTGTTATTATTTCGACATAATTTCTAATTATTCTACTGTCAATTACCATCATTAGTTCTTAGATAAACCTAACAAGACTTACAAGTGGTCAACTCCTATTGGTTTTTATGGCACGCTCCCAAATCTTTATTGACACAAGAGAAAAAAATACTTCAAGAGTTCATAATGTTACCTCCCACACTCTTGACATTTAATACAAAAGAATGGTATTATCACAGGTGAATAAGACCTTACCCGGCTTTGACCATAGCAAAGCAACCTGGTCATTAAAAAGGCCACTGAAAACGGATATTCCACATTGACCTAGGTGAATTGGATTTCATTCAATATTTGGTTGGTGAATTTATACATGGGAAAACTGGTCTAATCTTTCTTTGTCAATTCAAAGTCCTATACATGAACAAATATTTATCAACATTTTCTACGGAGGTCCGCACTGGCTATAAGCTGTTGAGGTGCTGTCTCACTTACTTAGGGTGCTAGATATCAAATTTTAGGTTCTAAAACTTCAATGATTGACTTTTTTACATGGTGAAAATCATTCTTCTTATCTAATGTTCAGAGTATGTTGTGAAAAACTAAGAAGCTTAAGCTTATGCCTATTAAATCAAATTTTGAGCACCCTGAATTATTATAGAAAGGTCTTTAGCCTTAAGCTTTTCTATAATCATTTGGATATATTAAGCACTCATCTGCAGAAATGCTCAAAGGCAAATTCATTGTTTAAAGGTAGACACTGACATCAAATACCGCACCACAGCATAATCTTACACACTAAATGTATCGAAGCATTTAATGAGCAAAATTACCTGTTAATCAAATGCCTGTCCTGCATTATACACCTGTAGTATCTAATGCTTAAATGACTCTCAATGATATTCCGGAACTATAAGTCAACTTAAATAGAAAACATATTAGAATAAATGGAAAGATTCATCTGTCTTGTTCTCCAATCGTGACAAAATTCCTGTAAAAAAGCTACATTACCATATCAGTAGGTCTAAATCTTGACCCTGTCAATAACCGCTGCAGTAGTGCAATTATATGAATAACGTATGTATCAATTTTCTCAATACTAAATCAGCAAGCTGGCAAATATTATCCACCATCTCTCATATTGAAGATTAAAATATACTGCTATCAAAAGCAAACAGATTTACCAGCCTCTGTCACCTGTATCAATCCTACAGATTAAGACATATTATACAGGGTCAAATATTAAGTATGTTATCTTTTTCACGATGGATCACAATGGCAGTATTTTTTATCCTTATTCTGTCCACACATGTACAAACCAGTTCAATATTTTTCAATATGAATATTAGCTTAACCTACAAAAGATTAATTTTACTGCAAATAGCTTTATATTAAAGAACCTGAAAATGAGAATTTCTAACCTACTTATCTAAATGTGTACTTGGTTACAATACAGAGAGTATACATGAGCCAGTAATTCAGATACAATATATTATTTCATTGATCTTTTTTGCATTTTAGACATTTGAGACTGAAGAATACTGTATCATAAAATATTCACTGAATTTGAAATGTTGACTATATTTCCTAATTTTCGTATTCCTGCAATTTTAATCTTATCTTTAATGATGATGATCCATTTTAGAAATTATTTTTATTCTGTACACCTAATTAGTTATAAAAAGATAACACATTTCCATATTTACAAATCAACTGAAATGGGCATCTTCTTCAGTATAGGGGATCACATTACTGTAGGCTGACACTACTGACATAACACTCACATTTCTGTAGGCTGACACTACTGACATAACACTCACATTTCTGTAGGCTGACACTACTGACATAACACTCACATTTCTGTAGGCTAACACTACTGACATAACACTCACATTTCTGTAGGCTAACACTACTGACATAACACTCACATTTCTGTAGGCTGACACTACTGACATAACACTCACATTTCTGTAGGCTGACACTACTGACATAACACTCACATTTCTGTAGGCTGACACTACTGACATAACACTCACATTTCTGTAGGCTAACACTACTGACATAACACTCACATTTCTGTAGGCTGACACTACTGACATAACACTCACATTTCTGTAGGCTGACACTACTGACATAACACTCACATTTCTGTAGGCTAACACTACTGACATAACACTCACATTTCTGTAGGCTGACACTACTGACATAACACTCACATTTCTGTAGGCTAACACTACTGACATAACACTCACATTTCTGTAGGCTAACACTACTGAAATATCACTCACATTTCTGTAGCCTAACACTACTGACATATCACTCACATTTCTGTAGGCTAACACTACTTACATAACACTCACATTTCTGTAGGCTGACACTACTTACATAACACTCACATTTCTGTAGGCTGACACTACTTACATAACACTCACATTTCTGTAGGCTGACACTACTGACATAACACTCACATTTCTGTAGGCTGACACTACTTACATAACACTCACATTTCTGTAGGCTGACACTACTGACATAACACTCACATTTCTGTAGGCTAACACTACTGACATAACACTCACATTTCTGTAGGCTAACACTACTGACATATCACTCATATTTCTGTAGGCTAACATTACCTACATACTACACACATTTCTGTAGGCTAACACTACCTACATACCACTCACATTTTTGTAGGCTAACACTACTTACATAACACTCACATTTCTGTAGGCTAACACTACTTACATAACACACACATTTCTGTAGGCTAACACTACCTACATACTACACACATTTCTGTAGGCTAACACTACCTACATACTACACACATTTCTGTAGGCTAACACTACCTACATACTACACACTTGTGTTGGGAATCGGTTGAGATTTCCTGATCGATCATCAACTTTGTGTAACCGATCGATGATCGATTAAAATCGATTAATTCTTAATTGTCTGTTTTTGGATATTATTCAAGTCTAAATACATATTTTGTGTTATGTTTTAACAGCAATTCATGTAATAACTAAAACTGTTGTACCTACACCATCATTTTGTGTGCTTGTTATTCGTTTATTGCACAGAATACTTTTTAATATAGACAAATGTCGTTTTTTTTTTTTTTTTAATTTATTAATGTTGATAATAATTTAAATATTGAAATAATCTATTTTCATACATCACGATGATTGATTACAGATTTCTTACTCGATTAATTGATCAAACATCTCAAACAAGTGATACTCCATTAACACGATTAATCGGAACAACACTACTACACACATTTCTGTAGGTTGACACTACCTATATACTACCCACATTTCTGTAGGTTGACACTACCTACATACTACACACATTTCTGTAAGCTAACACTACTTACATAACACACACATTTCTGTAGGCTAACATTACCTACATACTACACACATTTCTGTAGGCTAACATTACCTACATACCACACACATTTCTGTAGGCTAACACTACCTACATACCACACACATTTCTGTAAGCTAACACTACCTACATACTACACACATTTCTGTAGACTAACACTACCTACATACCACACACATTTCTGTAGGCTAACACTACTGACATACCACACACATTTCTGTAGGCTAACACTACCTACATACTACACACATTTCTGTAGGCTAACACTACTTACATACCACACACATTTCTGTAGGCTAACACTACCTACATACCACACACATTTCTGTAGGCTTACATTACCTACATACCACACACATTTCTGTAGGCTAACACTTACCTACCACACACATT